ACCTCCTCCGTGCTGAGGCTATCGCCCTTCACGCTGCAGGCCCCGCTGGTGGTGCTCAGCACTACATGACCTGCTACCAGCTTACCGTCACCGGTAGCGGAACCCTCGAGCCCAAGGGTGTCACTTTCCCAGAGGCCTACTCCAAGACTGGTCCTGGTCTTGGTTTCTCCATCCACGCCGATCTCGACTCATACCCCGCCCCTGGCCCTGCTCTCATCGCGGGTGGTACTGAGGCTACCCCCGAGCTTCTCACATTCGGCGAGCTCGCTGGTGCCCCTGCTGCTACCGCTACCGGCGGTGCTGAGACTCCTGCTGCCTCCACCCCGGCCTCCGCTGTCGCCTCTTCCACTGCTGCTCCCGCTTCCACCAGCGCCGCTGCCGAGGCTGAGCCTTCTTCGGTTGCCCCAGTTGAGGTCTCTTCTGCCGTTGAGAGCTCCGCTGCCGCCACCTCTGCTGCCGCTACCTCGGCCGCCGCTTCTTCTGCCGCTGCTCCTGAGGTCTCCAGCGTTGTTGCTCCCTACCCCGTAGCCAACAGCACCTCTTCGATGCTTCCTGGCACTGTCTCCAGCGCTATCGTTGCTCCTAGCACCATGCTCACCGCTGTCCGCCCCACTCCTACCGCTGAGCCATCTGGTCCCATCAAGGAGTACTACCAGTGCGGTGGCCAGGGCTTCAAGGGTGACAACAAGTGCGCTGAGGGTCTTGAGTGCAAGGAGTGGAACCCATACTACTCCCAGTGCGTCAAGCCTGAGGCCAACAAGCCTGGTCCTTCCAAGGGTCCTATGCCCTCCGCTCCTGCCCCTAAGCCCACTGCCGTTGCCCCTAAGCCCACCGGCGCTGCCCCCAAGCCTACCCCTGAGGCTCCCAAGCCCTCAGCTGCTAAGCCCACCCCTGCCGCCCCGATCGAGGCTGAGCCCACCTCCGTCGCACCTGAGGCCGTTGAGCCCACCAAGCCTGCTGCTTCATCCGCACCCGCACCCTCAGCCGGTGCTGGTGAGAAGACCTACACCCTCGAGACCTTCATTGCTTTCCTTGAGCAGGAGGCTGGTAGCGAGTCTGCTGCTAAGATCCGCCGCATGATCGAGGCCCTTCAGTAGACAATCTCGCATCTTTTGCGATATTCATCTTGTATATATACTTACCCTAGATGGGTAACTTCGATTCTTGTAGCGATGTTTTTGGAATGATACTTCTACTTCTTCATGATCATTACGCTGCTCTGCAGACTTTGCTATTCTTTCCATTGCATGCTGATCTGTCTATCTATTTGATCATGTGCATACCGATGCAATCCATTGATGCTCTCGTGCTGTGTGTATTCTCATCTGCAGGTTGCCGCGGTCAATTTGAAGCTGATTCACGTCCTGATAACACGTCCACTCGATACTAGTCGCCTTCAAAAGATCAATGCCACTAGGTGCGGCCACAGCTTCCCCAATCGCGCGGTAAGCGTTCTGGGGTCGTCTCACGTCACTTGGAACCGATAACCAGCGATTTAGGTATTCCAGTCGCCACCCAGTGGCTTTATCCTCCTCATAACACATCACAGTTCCCAACTTTCCGAATGCGTCTCTCATATCTTTCTAGGCGCAAGCATCGCCGAAGCATTGACGACCATCGCAGAATGTAACAAGCTTGCATCCGTCGCAGCCCGCACCGCATTATTAACTGCAGGCAACAGAGAGTTCGTCTAGCTATCTGTACTCTTACTTTAGACAAAGGTTTCTATCATCCGTCCATGTAGAAACAAGTGCAATATACCTTATGTTGCAACAAGAGACGTAGAGTTCGAGCGCCTCTGGGTTCAATCACGTGCTCTTATCTTTTGTACTACCTAGTGCATTATGCGCATTTGGCTATAAATTTCGCTGTTCTCATCCGAAGCGACCTAGGCAGTGATCCAATCCACGACAAGAAACAGCCAACAAGATGCTAGACTTTAACAAGAAGATAGCAATCCTTAGATTTCTAAGAACCCTTAAAGTATATGTTAAACTATTGCCAGACAAAGAGCCTACATAAAAGAACCCTTAAGATATACATTAAATTCTTGCCGGACAAAGAGCGCACATAAAACAGCTTTTGAGGTATACATTAAATTCTTGCTCGAGGTTCTGAAAGTACGAAACACACTGTATGTCTTTAGGGTGCAGTATAGAGGTCCATAGAAGAGTCAGATTCGCATTGTCGTCGGCTAGATTTAAGTTGGAAATTGTCTAACGTCCTGTCGCATGTCTTCAAACGAGCAATGAACTGGGCATAGGCGATTAGCACAACAGGCAGTTACCCAAATCGAGCGTAGTTGTGGATAACTCTTTTCCGTGTACTTCTGTCTTGTGTGCTGTGTCTATCAGTATAAACGGCGTCCCGCATTAATGGTATTTGAACAAGCTAATGCGAGTACCCGAATGACCTTGGGATGCAACGCTCCAGAACTTCGGATAGATCTCTCTTCCCGATGCGAATGCGCATGACATGAATTACAGGTCGCGGTATATTCTGCGTATGTATGTTCCTTGATGCGCAGGGTCTGGAAAGTTGAAGGGCATTTGGGCGCCGTTCGCAGTGGCTTCGGTGGAAGGAACCCTAGACTAGAGCTTGATGACGCCATCGTGCAGCACGCGATTTGGGCGCGCTCTACGCCGGGACCTGAACCCATGCGCGCTCTCCGCGCTGCGTGGCATTCCATACTATGGTGACTAAGTCGGCGTGATTACCTGGCATAACGCGGATATGAAAAGGCTATGCAGCACACATCACAATAAACGAAGCAGATCGCAAATCAGTCGCGTCGATGTAGGCCTCAAATGGTCTAGGTCTTCTCTCTGAAATTGATTGATGGGTGATTGTATTCCACGCGCTTGTCCGTTGCAGCGCTTGTTGGCCTGCGTGCGCTGTACGAAGGCGTCTTTCGCTATCGCGCCCGGATTATATGCACTGGGCTAGTCCCAGGTAGACGTCTGAGCATTTAAATATAGTAGCACTGAGCTGTAGCTTTATTCTAACACTACCTATATTCGCAATAGTGACCCGCTTGGAGGCGCAGTATCCTGGCGGGCGTGCAACCATCTACAGTGCCAAGGCAAACCTACCCCATCGACTACCTACTACCGTTAGAGTAACGTGAGCTACGAAAGCATTGCTAAGGCATGCACATAGCTGAAGAGGCATTCGCAGTATCTCATTATTATGTCGTAGTATGCGCACATGTAAATACGACGTACATAAGTGCATAGTACTCCGTCGGCTACTCAGCTACCTAGAACGGCAAACGTCATAGCCCCGGGACTATCTTAGGTCCCCGCTGAGGTTATGTGTACCTCGATCTTAACACATAGTTGCTTACGCGCGAGCACGGAAATGTGCGGTATCGCAGCTTTATTTCTATACTATGCGCACTATATTGTATAAGCAGTTGGTAGTGTAGTATTCTGTCGGACACGAAGACGGCTAGTAACCACGGGTACCGAAGCGGCAGGCGTCCTGAAGTCATAGCTGCCCCAACTTCGGGAGTCTCAGCCCGAGTTATGCGGACCACCACAGTGTCGCAAAGCTGTCTTCCCGCATGCATTGAAGTATGTTGCCCTCTACCTTTCTTTCCATGCTATGCGCCCTGCATCACTTGATGTAGTCACATAGTAGTATCCTAGCGGGCAGAGGCTGCCTCGTATGGGACCTCGCTACCCTTCTCAAGCTGCCGCCAGACTTATGTGTACCGCAACCAGCTCGAAAAGATGCAGTTTCACACGCGCCCGGAACTACAGTTTCGTCCCTCTGTCCCTGTGCCATATACATTCTCGACAACAATACAGGCAGTGGCACATTACTATGGCGGAGATGCATCCGCTCTTTCTAGCCTGCCAGTGTCGCTCTACAAACCGGCCTGATGAACCGATTACCCGATGCGACACCGGGCTCATCTTTTGGGCGGTAAGCGTGCGGTACTCCCAGTGACGTAGCTAAGTTTTAATACTTCCAGCCCCACAAGCCGGCCTTTACACAAGCCCTCCTTTCGTATATCTATTCCCATATCTCCCAGAGGGTTCGTATTTACCACCGGTGTATTCGGATTACGATTACTAACCCTGTTTGTTTGAGCATAATCTTGCGTGGAGAATACAGCAAGAAGTGCTGCCATAGCATGCGCGCCTGTTTCCCTGACGATGATGATGGGTATTTAGATGTTGAGCGGTTTGTACCACCATACCATGTATGTGATGAGTGCGAACGTAGACTGTAACACGGTTGTCATCTCCAGCAGTGGACCTTGGTATTCCTGGAGAGACCAGAGAAGTGTTTGTAGGCAAGAACGCGATAGTTGAGAACGACGTGTCGTTTTCGTGAATGAGGTCGATTTCGCGCGATCTGCGAGTATCGGGTGGAGATGTCAAGGACGAAGGTGCGGTCATGGTGTTGGTGTGTAGGTAGAGCTTGTTTCTTTGGAGGGTAGGCGTGGCACTGTTGTTACAAGGGTAGATGAAGTTCGCATCTTCCCTCTGAGATTGTCAGCCGCGGACCTTTTCGACCAGGCTTGCGCGCATGACGTCATTGGAGTCAATACGGAAGCTACTTCCCATCCTTACTTGTCAAGACTATCACACCGTCAACAGCCATTGCAGACTTCTTAGGATATGTTACAATCGACATGAAATACTGTTGGGGTATTCGCTGCACTAATTATGGATGTGTGACAGGTCACACGACAGCGTATATTCTCAGCCGTTTGGGAACCCAGACGGAGATAATTTTGTTTTTGATTTAGCATTGGAAACCGATAATAGACTTTTACTTGCATATAGAAGGATAGAAAGGCAAAAAAAAACAAGCCTCAAGGACCATCTCCTGCGACTCATAGCTCCTGTGTGGAACTGCTGAACAATTCCATGAGCTCAACTTTTCCGCACCCATAACTTTTAGCATGATACTGCAGTACCCATCGTTCTCGCATCATCCAAAACCATGCATGTTGTTCCTTCATGGCGCTGACAAAACGCGAATCTCTAGTCAGTCTCCTCCGAAAGCAATCGCATTTTTGAGGCGTTCCAGTCATCGTATATGATGCCAGGAACATACCACAGATAGCTTCGACCGTCACAGCAAATTGTTGTGTGATTGCCATCAATGTCTTCCAGACCAGCATGCCTGATCAGAGACTTCATGTGCCTCTCTTTCCTCTCTTGGCTCCATGTGGAAAAGTCTTTGTTGTCCAGGTTCATCCGTAGCGCTGGCTTACTGCGCTTTTCAGGGCCACGGCGCTCTGGGTCCTTGAATATCGTGATGCTGGTGATATCGAAACCATCTCGGACAGGTCTAATAAGAGAATCCTTGTTCGATACCAATGTAAGAAACAGGTCGTTGATGTTCCAAGGCCTCCGATCCGAGTATAGCTCGTAGCGGAATAGAAGACGTGGCATCTTGAGATTGTACATCTTCTTCAAGACTGGAAGGATGTCTATACCATCGTGCGGCAGTGGAACCTCCATGATGCTGATAATATGACGGCCCAAAGCCTGGCTTTCGTCGTCTTGTCCAAAAACGACGAGGAATTCACCAAGACATGAATTGATGTCGAAGGACAGCTCTTGGAGACAAAGCGGGCGAAACTCGTGGCGCAGCAAGTGGCAGGCCTGTGTCAGACCGAAATAATGTCGCCTCTTGTGAGCCTTCACCCATTGCGCTGCCGTCTTGTAGCGCTTTGCTGCCATGATAGATTTGTACTTCATGTGGATTGGCACAGAGTTTTTGAAACTGTTGCCGCGCTTGGTCCATGTTTCGCCTTTTTTGTACTCTCTTGTGTCGGCTACAACGTAAGCGTAGATACGGTTCCTCAATTCTATCTTCTCATCAATGGCACGCATTGAATGCAACAGAAAATGAGCCTTACCTCCAGGGAGATTGAGCAGAGGAGACTTGTCGTTAACGATCTCTTTACGAGCCCGCTTCCCACGCGTGCTTGCGGTAGCAGACGTTGCGTTGTCTTGACTGATGCCGCTTGCGCGCTTTCGTCCACTAGACGGTCAGTGTTGAAGCTTTTGCATGGGTAGTGTACACTTACACCATGTTTCTTGGGTTGCAAGATCTGATTCAGGATCTGAGTCAGGAAAGCTGAAGGGTATCGTTGTGGAGGTTGCAGATGTGGTGACTTTATATAGTCGGCATCTTCGCGCTTGCATGCTCACTGCTGGCTCGCATGACACGTGCCAGGATGAGGGTAAAGGTAATAGTAAAGGTGAGAGAAGATCTCCCGTAAAGAGCGCGTACAGACTAGTGATGGAAGATGTATGAGTAAGATGAGATTGATCTAATACATTAATGAAAGTAAACATTAACGTGCAACGTGTTGCGGAGTATCTTGAAAGCACAGTAAAGCCACCCAAGAACCACCATGGTCTGATCCCCAAACGCCATGCCATCGCTATAAGTATCGGAGCTGAGCCACACCAATTATCTTCTCTCCTACAACCTGAACTTGGCGCTCATCTTCTTGGTGAACGCCATGTTGAACGCTTGCCTCTTCGTGGTCACGAAACCGTTGGGAACCAAGCTCGAGCAATCTTGGAGCTTGCTGGCGTCGCTTCCGATGACAGCGAACCGGTCCCATGCGCTCGTGAAAGCGGTAGACCAGCTGTTCGCGTCTTCAGCGAAGTTAGACCAGGTGGTTGATGTCTGCAAAGGCTGTTAGTGACGGATCAGGTAAGGGTATCAAGACAGTAAACACATACCTGTGAAGAGTTTGACATGAGTAGATCGCTCTGGAGACTGTATGGGGCCTTGCGGTCCTTGGTCTCTTGGTAGAAGGTGTTGTCGTATCTGAAAGGTGTCGAGTCAAGACCCTTTCCGGCTTGCGATGGGTCGTCGTGGAACTGGACTGCTACACTGTGTGCACCCATGAGGGCAACGACATCGTCGGATGAGAAGCCCTTCGCAGCAAAGGCTCCCAAGATGCTTTCGAGAGTACCACGGCTGCTGGGTACACTTCCGACAGGCGCGGCGTTTGAGCTGTCCTTACGGCCAACTAGTGCTTGCACTCTGGGGCCGAGCGGGCACGCGGCGATTGCTTGTGCGCCAGCGAATTGGATCATGTCTGCTGCGCTGACTTGGTACTTGTCGCTCCAGTCCTTAAGCTTCGTGCAGATAGCTGAGAGACCGGCGTTCTCTGATCTTCCACACTCGTCTGTGAGAACGAGACTGCCGTCACAACCATTGTTGATGCAGTCGTGGAAGGGAGCACGTAGGGCTTGATGAGCATCCGCGCCACAGCCAGCAAAGTCGGCTTGAAGCTCGGTGGCGACATCAGACCAGACGGAAGGACAGCTAGAGCTTTGGCGAGGCCATAGGGAGAAGGCCGAAGTTGATGTCGCCGTAAGGGCAACGAGGGTGATGGCGGAGTAACGCATGTTGGAAAGTAGCGAGGGTCCTTGGATATAGTGTTGTGTTGCTCAAAGATTCGACTTCAACGATTGTAATGATACCAGTATATGAACGCAAGGCTATCGAATTTGAAAGAAGAAAGAAAGAAGAAACCGTGCTGAACTGTTGAGCCTGACGAAACCAAACTCGAGCAACTCCAAAGAAATATATACCGAAACACCAACGTTCGCCGCTCTCAACGGCTGGCTGACCGTGAGATGGGTCGCGATCAAAATTAGACCGATGGTGATGACAGCCGTACCGACGCATCCGCGCAAACTGTAGGAAATTCGATAAACACTAAACAGCGATCTTACCCACCGGCAATCTACAGTTCCTCACCCTCTGCATCTCTTGTCTCCATTCTGACCGATTCGAGCCGTAACCACTTCTAAGATCTGACGATTCCGGTCCATGGCATTGGTGGATGGGCGTCGTGTAAGCCGTTGGCGGCCTCGCGCTACATGCGACTTCCTGCCTAGTATCGCGCACCGGAACACGTTCCCAGTTACTAATGTCGAGCTACAGCAAGGCCCGGACCCTGACAGGTGTGATGGACGTATCTTCAGCGCTGGCGCTGACAAGTGGCTTCAAGGTTTTCGCGGTTGTGGAATGTTGATCTTGGCGCGTTCGCTGTGTTGTTGTCGGTGCTCAAAATCCCCGACGTGAGATCGACAGCATCGGCACAAGGGTGATCCACAGAATGTTTCCAGAAGCAGTGCATTCGTCGCACAGTCTGCTCGGACCTCAGCATGGAGAGCCGAATTCGTTTTTTCGTCGTCTCGTTTGGGTACAATGGGATTCTGAGTGCGTACTGTCAGGTCCGAGGGTCGTTGCTGACACGGCGAGGCATTTCGCGATAGTTTGACAAGACGTCAGGGCTCGCCCGCAGCGCGCTACTACACAGTTCCATAATTAGATTGGGTTCTACCAGCGATTCCATCCCGATTCCATCTCATGCAGGCCCTGCTCCTTCATACACAGATTCAGCCAGACCCTGGAGTGAAGTGATCTATTCCCAAGTATTCGGTACTGTGCTACCTGCGCAGACGCAGGCGAGAGCGAGGCGTCCTGCCGGCAAAACCTTGGTGTTCCGGTCAGCACTACCCCACTACCCACTCATTAGAGCTCCGATGCATGCATGTTCTCGCTAGATGTCGGAATGGTTGAAGCGACGCAGATCGATGTGAGATCAAGCTTTTGTGGTGGCGGTAGCGTTGTGGAGCAACTGCATGTTCATGTAGACATCTCGCTCGGTGGTGTGTGCCGAAACAAGGCCATCATCTTAGTCGGTGGGGACTGACCGGTATCTAGGTCGTTGGGGAACGGGCGGAGATCAAATGAGTCGTAACAGTTGAGGGTGGTTGCAACAAAGGCATTGCGTGCGATTGGGGACTGCGACTTTGGGTTGCATAGGGTTGGTTGATTCGCAGACCTGGGGGTCGGTAACTACCTGCACCTGTGCAGCGACGCGACCGGTGACGTTGTCGATGTCCGCCAAAATTGAACAAGACAACCAGACAGTGCGAGCGGCCTAGAGATAGCATCAAGATCTCGTCAGCTAGTAGGTCTACTCAAATTATGTATGCCATGTCTACCTAGGTATGCGATGGACCACAACATTTCAGACGGGCAGCTGGGCTTGGCTAAGCCAGGATTGGATAGGCGGCCCTCACTTCGGCGCCAGCATCGACAGTCCCACCAGCATCCGACTTAGAAGTAATCCATCATCACGGGGTCTACGACGCCAAGTCGATTGTGTGAACAATTCGACACGCGCGAGAACTTTATGGCTGCAGCAGTTTAGATATTTGCACGCCTAGCCGTTGGTTTTAATGCAGGCGGATGGATCAGTCTTGGGAAAGTAGCCGCGAGTATAGCTAGAGGTGCGCACAAGATAATAACGTTGGAAAGTTAAAATTGGCGCGTGGAATACGAGGATGCTTTCATAGACTGTTGTACTTATACGTATTGTACTTGTGTTTTTCAATCAACTTGTCTGTAGTACATGGGTAAGTTCTAGTGAATCGGCGCCGAGGACATTGTGCACACAGCCAGCCTGTGAATATACGACTAGGACCTAGAGTCAAGATTGCGACGAAGTAGCAAAATGCAGCTCTTGCGTTTGTGAGAAGATACATCGTAGGTGCATTAGCGGGTATACTAGCGGACGTCTCTGATCGCCGATTGGGCACCTCCACGGTATAGCAGCCAACCGATGGAGTTACACACGTCGCATGCACACCCAAAGACGTCGCAAACATAATTCTACGCTTTAGAGCGTTCGATAGTAGTATTTGTCTCTGATTCTGGTCTCACCGTCATAGTGTAGTCGAGATTAATACCGGCGGTGAGGTGAGCATAGATTGTAAGGCGTACGCCCCCAAAGATACTGAGCCCTTTCACTCCACTACGCCCACAACCAACGTCTCCATTGACCCAATACTTACAGCTGTCGATCGCGCATACAAAGAGCCATGTCGTATTTGCCACTACACGCCTGTTGCGCTGATGTTGCCTACATAGGCTGTCAAGGCCCAAATCCTGGCTAGGCGCAGCTTGTGATGCCCGACGGAATTGTACTATACATGGCGTACGACCTACATGGGATTGCTGCAAGATCTTGGTCCGCTTCATGCTCTTACTGCATCCGCCGCTGAATTCATGGCAATACGTCTGAAGGCTCTTCCATTATACCTCGGCGGTCCAGCTCAACATTGAGCCAACTTTCACGTGTCAGGCGCTAGTGATGACGTCATCGCAACCTTGGAATCTTCACAACCGTAGCACCGTGGCCTGCCTTCCACACTGACAACGATTACTGTCGGCTTTTATTTACACACCCCTTCACATTGCTGCTTCTCGTGCGCTCGGAGTCGCATGCGCCATCATAGCCCTTCTGTGCGCATCTCCGACACACCCACGGTGCTTGCATGTCTCCCCCTGGCTTCTGTCTACGACTATTTCGAATCCTCCACGACGCGACAGACATGCGCATGTCCTTCGGCCGCTCGCTTTCCCCGGAGATACACGGCCGCGTGCGCAGGTCAGCAAACTCCCGGGTTGAGCCCCCTTCCATTTCATAGCACGCGCACCGATGCGACGGGAGGTATCCTCCTCAACGCTGCCGTGTCTCGCCAGATGACACAACCGCCATGTTCGCTTTACGCCGCACCCTGATCGCTTATACAAACAGCCCTTGCCGTCTCCGAACCTGCGAGCTTGCTATCTTCTCCAACTGGGACGAATGTCGCAAACGTCAACGAGTACGACATGACTACCATCGAACCGACGCGAATACCGATACAATGGCAGATGTACGCCTCTTTCCAATTGAGCTGGTACAAGGACCCATCCGGCCACACAATCGCATATGAGTTCGAGTAGGGCTAAAGCTGCTCGGATGGCGGTGGTGCCGTTCGTGGTCGAGAGGAACATGGTCGCAGTGCGCCACCATGACGCTATAGCCCACAACACGGAGAAGTTACGCCGCTAGCTCTTATTCGATCTTCTGGAGGACCGACACCTTAAAGGACTGGTGCATGACCACAAAGCTGCTTGCTGATCTTTTCAGTCGTAGTGCCTTTCAGCACGTCACATCTGATGCGTGCTTGTTCACCGATGTCGTCCAGCAGGAGGAATACAACGCTGGTACAATGTGGTCCAACCTGAACACACTTTCGAGATGCTACATTGATGTCAAAGTAGACATTGACAAGGTTTCTCGGATGACTGTGGTAGCACATTGTGCATTGTGTATCACATCTATATCTCACTTCCGCCTTTTCGCTTGAGCTGATTCTGTATTATGCTCACCCATCAACCAATCAAATAAATACCGATCCGCGGTGTTGTGGCTCATCCAATATGTCAGACCCTCTCCCTACCAATTCCCGGACTGCGCCAACTTGGTCGCCTGTGATACGGCGCGACACACCAAATGTCCGTGCTAAGCCAATCATTGGCCGAGATCACGTCCTTGATTTGGATGCCAAAGACCGCAAGGTACTCCTCGAGGGACCAACCGTGGATGTCATTGCCCGCGGTATCGTCATCCGGAAAGACGTAGCTCTTCGTGCGTTGATAGCTTCATGCGAAAAGGCCAATGATGTCGTTCAGATCACGCCCCAAATCACACGATTTCGTATGCATAGTCACGCCGATGAAAGAAGTATCAAACGCTTGCTTGACGTATTCACTACATCCAAGCTTCTTGGCCTTGATCGCGTTGACCTTGTGTCCGGTAATCTTCGTAACGATGTACTAACATACCAAGCGTGTTTAGTTCTCGGCATCCACTACACTCACTCTGCACCTCTCCTCGGCACCCTTTGCGCGCTCGTATCATCTCGACTTCTCAGTATTAGCGAGCTCGAGATGTTGGTACGTCGCTTCCCTCCCACAAACCCTTTAATCAAGCATATCGCTCAGGAACTCTGCCGCAGAAGGTTCAAGAAGCAGATACCCGACATTCTTGAATTCGAGAATTGGCTCAATGGAAAGGGCAAGGAAGGACTTAAAAAGGCTATGGCGGCATGCGACAAAGTACATAAGATGACAAGGCAACCAGTCACTCGGAGAAAGTGCGACTGGACGAAGGATGCTGTGCTACGTCTGTGGGGCGAGGATGTGGATGGGGTTTGTGTTGAGGAAGAGGCCGAAGACGACATGGAACCGGACAAGATCAAACGACGAGACTCAAAGTTACTGGAGTAGAGCTTCTAGAACTATCATAAGCGACTGCTGGGCCTGGTTAACGGGCATGTAATGTATGGTTAAGCTCAGTAGTGATCGACGATGTGTCGCTTCTTGCATACCCTAAACAAGCATTGTAATCCCTTTCTTCGCAGGCGGCCATGCTGTATTGCTAGACTACACTACCCAACGGTCTTGAATACATAAGTGTAATCTGCTATCACATGCGCTTGTCTACCCTGCGCCACTGAGACTGTCTAAGAGCCGTGGGCTTGTGCCCGGTCAAAGAAGCTTCGTTGTCCGAGAGCGGTACTGTACATAGGCGGGGATTGACGCCCGCCTGTGGATGGCTGGAAATACCGGGCTCTCACAGCAACACGCAAACCGTACGCACGGCGCGCAATTTTGAGCTGATGAAAAGGTTGGGTATTACACGTTCTCATGTGCCTACTCAGGGTAAACCATCTTTCTCCCGACACCGCCGTCTACAACGGCCTCCTGACCAGTGACAAACTCGTTGCCTATGAGGTACTCCACCGCCTTCGCAATATCCTCCACTTTACCTACTCTGCCAGCAGGATGCCAGTCGACATCAGCCTTTGAGAGACCCTCCTCCCACTCGGTTTGACCTTCATCGCCAGCTTTGCTTTCGTTGGCGACGTGAATCCATCCGGGAATGATCGCATTCACCCTGATCTTGTGACGATGGCCTAGCGATACTGACATGGACTGCGTCAACCCCAACAGTCCAGCTTTGACAGATGAGTAGGCTTCGTGGTCAGGTTCGGATTGATATGCGCGCGTTGATGACATGTTGATGATGGTACCAGGCGAATTCGGAGTAGAACTTCCTGCAGCGAGAAGCGGAACGCATAGCCGACTGAGGATGAACGGTGCAGTGAGACCGATCGCAACCTTTAAATCCCATTCTTTTTCCATGTCTTCTCCCTCAGCTTCCATGCTGCGATCCTCCGATATTGATAGGTCTGTCGGGAAAGCATTGTTGATCAAGACGTCGAGCTTGCCATCAAATTTCCGCTTGACTTCTTCCACAGCAGTCTTCAACTCCGTTCGCTTGCTGAGGTCACACTCAAGCGCAGACCAGCTTTGCTTTCGACCATTTGACCATTCTTCAGCTCGCGTGCGGACATGCTCTAGCTCTTCTTTGTTGGAATCCAGAATGACGACGTCATGTCCAGATGTCAGCAGCTGTCTGAACAACCCGCGCCCGATACCCCTGGCACCACCTGTCAACAGGACTTTGAGATGTTGAGGACCTGCGCTCATTATCATTGGCCAATAATGGCAGATTAGGATGAAGGGTAGATGTTGTGAGCACGGAACTCTTGCTAATCGTCGGTGTCTTTAATTTACTTTTATTAATGGGCTGCCGTGGGTTCGCGGAGCCATGACGTCATGACCAAATCTTCCCGCGCGAATATTCCGATCTCATCTCTCCTGGCGCCTACAGCCCGTTGCTACTGCAAATTTATCCTCGGAAATTGACCATCGGCAAGAGAGGGAAAATTGTATATTTTCGAAAAGCCCGGCGGGATGCAAGATCGTCTCTTCGGCGATATTGTGGAGCTCAGCATATCGGCCGCCTTTGAACGCGTCTTCCCGGGGTGTCCAATAACTGCCCAGGTCCACGGATGCGTCCTCTCGAGAGCTTGACCTACACAAGACGCGAAAGCAATGTAAAATACCTGATGTTCAGGCAATGAGATTGCCGTCATTCGACTTATGAACACCCTATCACGCGCCCTTCATCGAATTGCGAGGTGTGAAATCACGTGATACAACCATTGGGGAAAGTCATGGGTATTTACTATGCTCGCACTCTAGGGCCCTATATACATGAAAGTTTACTTACAACCCCGAATCGATCTGATTCAGTACCACTTCAGAAGTATAAGCATCCCAATCATCGCAAAGTTGAAACTGCTCATCCCCAAATGCCTGCTTCTGGATATCCTCTGGTCTCTCCAAGATCTGCATGAAGAGCCCTCCACTAACGTGCCAAGCGAGATGGCAATGCAGCGGCCAGGCGCCTGGATTATCTTGCACGAATTGCAGTACCAAGTACGAAGGCTCAACAGTGCCGGTGGTGTTTCGTGCATTCTGCATCTGATGGACATCGCGACGCAGCGTGTTCTCTGGGTTTGTCACAACGCCGTCCCACTCTCCGAAGCCTTCAGCCAGGATGTGGTAGTCATGGCCGTGCAAATGCATGGGATGGCCGCCAATGAGACCGTGGTTGACCATGTGGATGCGGACATGCTTCGCACCGGGGAATTGGTACACGTTCCATTCGGGGTCGAAGTCCGACTCGTTACGCTTTGCTTTCAGTAGCGTTGGCTTGTTGTAGTTGCCGTGGTAGGTGCTGTTGTTGAGATACCAGATGAAGTTGGTGCCATTGGAGCGGAAGTCAAAGTCCACACGTTCGACATGGTCAGGCTCTTCCAATGGGACCTTACACAGCGGGATACCCTGGGTGATGGGGTCGTTCTTGCATTGCTCAAGTTGTTCTTTCGTGACATCAGAGGTAGACTTGGGGATAGCGTCGGTACTGGCATCCTCGTAGTATACTGCCGCAAGAGCGTTAGGTGAGATGCCGTCGGTGAGTGTACAGCGAAAGCCTTGAGCAAGTTGAGAGCGCATCCAGAAGGTATCGCTAGGCTTGCCGATAGCTTCGACTATAACATCAGTGCGCTGACCGACGGCAAGCGTGACGACGTTAGTCGTGTACGGCTCGACCGGGATGTAGTCTACGGCGATGACTTTCAGTTTGTGCCTATCGATGCTGAACTTCTGGTTGCCTTCAGCGCCTGTGTTGATGAGGCGTAGTAGATGCTTCTTTCCAGACTGGAATCTAAACTTAGAGATACCTGCATTAGGCGTGCAAGGCAAGGTTGTATTGGCACATGGGTAATTCATTCTTCCGTTGATGAGATTGTTGTTGGAGGGCGGGAATTGGCCGTTCATGGTGCCCTCAACAAGGGTATAGTAGTCAGCATGGAACCAATCTTCGAGAATGATGGGGCCGATGTCGATGTCGTAATCCTCGTGTTTCGGCCCATGTATGACCATGGGGCCGTGGGCGCCACCGGAGTATTGCGCGCTGTAATGGCCTTAAAAATTAGCTTTTGCGTATCTCAGTGTAGTACTGAGGAACTTACTGTGATACCAAGACGTCCCGTAGCGGTCGGCCCGGAAAAGCATCTCATAGTAACCGCCGTTTGGAGTGATCGGGCATTGACTGACCGCCGGTACACCGTCATACCAGGTACTTTCTGTCTGGAAAAGGCCATGAGCATGAAGGGTAGTACCCTCGTCAGTCAAATCATTTGTAACTCTCCAAAGGATCCAATCACCCCTGTCACGGTCAGTAGAAGCATTACAGTGTTGGAAGATGATTCTTACCAGTTGGCCTCGATCAGAGGACCGGGGAATTGACCATTGACTGTGAGTCCATTCCTGGTAACACCATCTGGAGCGATCGTTTGATAAGCCACGTGGAGGTCGTATGTTCTTGTCACGCCGGTGTCAGGCATGAACGGGCAAAGAAGATCAGCCTTCGGTTGGGAGGCCGCAGTAGCGATAGGCTCGAGCGCCCCAGTGGCAGTCGGTCCGGAAGAAGTAGACCCTGTGGCGTTTGCATAGCCGTATGGATGACCAGATACTGTAGGGTGAAGAGAACGTGTAGATGATGGCCTCGTTGACTCGGACGTATATGCGCCATCGGGATTACTACTCGGAAGACCATTCGCCGAGAGATGGGGAGAGTCGATCAAACCCCATTGTGAGTTACCACACTGTTCGACATTTGGAAGTGAGCTCTTCAGATGGTCGGTGCCCTTGGGAACCCAGCACGGTTCTTTGTAGTCATGTTTGGCGGGCCCGCCGTATTCGTAGGGTGTCGAAGGCCGAGGAGGAGCGTACGCTTCTCCATGTGATGGTTTACCCGGCCACTCGAAAGGGAGAGGGACGTCGTTGTAGGGATTGTAGTATGGACCACCATGCCCATGAGAGTTGGTCGTGGGTCGTGCTGCGGCGTATTCAGTGACTGTAGCTGTGACGACCTGGCAGATGGGCGCGATGCTGAACTCAGAAGGGGTGACTGCGTGGAGGACAGACGACAATGAAACCGTAGCGGCGAAGTAAGGAGCGTAGGCTACCATGGTTGTAGCAACAAAAGTTGGCCGTATGATTGTTCACGAGCGACCGCAACAGGCTTGACTGCGCAAAGAAGGAACGACCGTGTTGAGAAGCAAGACACTGCATCTGAAGGTATGCTGAAGGCCATGTTATATGGGATTCTATGACAGTATGCCAAATACCCGACGTTCTATGTTTGGCCGTGGGGCTTGAGAATACGATGAAGCGAGCTATGTGGCGGGAAAAAGTATGGGCCATGAATCTGAATATGGTCGAGACACCCGAGGCGAGGCGAGGCGAGGCGAGGCGCAAGAAGCAATGCGCTGTAAGGCTTCCATTCGTGGATCAGGCAAGCAGTATAGCGAGTAGATCATGAGAGCTCAGCGTTACTTTTGAGCCCAACCCGTGTTCCCCTTGGCGTCGTTCGTACACCGAGGCGGGTGAAGGAGATGAGCTAAGCCACACAATGTTCGGCATCATCGACGTTGCGAAAAGATCTGCAGACGCAGCATCCGCGACATACATGCCGTCGCCGTTTTCGCGATTAAGGCTTTCCCGAAGATATGCAGGTACGTGCTGGAGTATGCCAAGCGACATGATTGTACATCATTAACGTATCCAGTGTGATGGTGGCATTGCCATACTTGTTTGCGAGTCAGCTTCGAGGAATGTGGGACCACATGTGGTGTCTGTGTAGCCATATTCTGAATCAGCTACCATATTTTGATACCTCGAAATGCGGGACTCATAGCCTAATCTTTTGTTGTTGTGATGGTTCGTATTGTGCTGCCGTGGGTGCCGTGTGCCTAGGTAGCCCAGGGACATGCCAAGCTCCCGAACTCGCGTAGAACCGTTCGCAATAGTGGCTTAGACGAAGCATGCGACAGCATGTTCTCCTGACTATGTGGAGATGATAGAGAAGGCTGTGTTGTGGAAGCTGAGGTCATTGGCAAAGCGGTGTTGAGGCGTCGGGATAAGCACTGGTTAGCGCTGACACCTCCCGCACACTTGGGCATGGCATCCGGCTAAAAAGGGGCCTGGCGCCGATCGCTCACGGCCACTTCTACTCCAGAGTAATTCCAATTGAGGGCTTACACTCGTTACTGTCGGTGTTGCGGCGACATGAGGAAGCTATGCAGCTAGGTGTCGCATGCCTTTCTTTCCTACCCTGCAGATCGTGACCTTGCCATGCTCTCTGTCAACACCAACATCGCGACTACCACATTGCTCTCAAGATGGGAATATGGCAAAGAAGAACTTACAAGTGACGTGCTACAGGCCGTTCATCGATAATGCAGCACATGGCACGAATCATTGACTGAGATGTTGTTTGGCAAAAGAAATCTTTCTGGCCAGGCTCGCCCTATCGCAACTTGCTGTGCAGTACTGTCTCTTGAGCAGCAACGAGACTACATAGGGTGATTCACACTCAAGAGGCACAAGGAGACTGTGTTGTCAACGCATTCGCATTATCTACACATGAGTGTTCCTTTTCATACTAGATGACAATGACCGGCGAAAACTTGTGTCGCATCTCCTCACGGCAATCTCATAATGCAACCGCTTCCATGTACCAAGCCCCGCTCACTCTCCTCAACTGATTTCCTACTCCTCCTCGCTATCATCGTTCTCTAAAGCCCGTGCGAGCTGATCTACCTGCGTATCATCAACGCTATCATCGCTGTCGTTCCCAACAACGTCGTCCGAAAGCGATTGCTTGGGTTGAGGACTTCGTTGCGCGTCACGCATTACGACGTCCTTTGCTTCCTGCTTGCCGTTGAGCCTTCTCTGCTTCTTCTCTTTCCGTTTCGCCAACTTGTCGGCGTAGGCTTTGGAGGCTGTCTTCGCTTTCGTCATCTGCAATACGTTAGCGAGGACAACAACAAATAGTCCAGGAGAGCACTCACGGATTTAGTGAATTCCTCTTGGCTCCAACCGGCAACTGTATCCATCGCCGTTCTCATAGCGTCGTCGGGATCCAATGTCCTTACAGCCTTCCTCTTCTTGGTCCTTTGCGCATCTAGTACATGATTCTCTATGCTGTTCTTGGCATGAAGGACATAGACATATACCTGCTTCGTCTGCCCTATCCGGACAGCGCGAGCGGTACACTGCTCCTGTAAATGAGGATTCCAGAGCGGTGTCAAGTGTATGACGCAGTTTGCCCCAATGAGGGTCAATCCGAGGCCGCCACACCTCGCGGTGATCAGGATGAAGTCGTAGGCTTCTGGTGTGTTCTTGAATTTATCTACGACAGCCTGTCGTTCCGCCTTCTTCACCGTCCCGTCGATTCGGGCGATCTTCGTGTTCGTGCCGAAGGTCTCTTCGAGGGCGTTCTTGGCGACATCTAAAGCAGAAAGGAACTCCGCAAATACCAGTACGGGTCCTGGGCGTTCGCTTCTGTGTTCCTTGCAGACCTTTATCAGCTCTTCCATCCTTGACGACTCAGCCCAGGTCTTCTTGGTCTCTGCGCAGAGTCTTGTGCGACTCAAATTCTCCCCTTTGGATAATTCGTTGCCCTTGGCGTCTCTTGCTAGCATCTCATTTCCGATGTCTGCCACAAGCACCTCGTGGTCTTTCTTGATAGATGCTTGGCGGAAGTCTTCTGATGACCCGTAGCGGTATTTTGTGCATGCCGGATGTGCCATGGCCAAGCGTGCGGTTGTGATGCTAGCGAATACTGACTCTTCCATGTCGCTGCCAGAGCCTACTACGCCAGCCCTGCGGTCAGCGTCGCGATCTTTCTTGTAGGCCTCATCCCATATCGTCCTAGTGCTCTCCTGCTCTTGTGTCTCTTCGAATGTCAACTTGTGCCTCCTAAATTCTGTGATTGCCGGTTTGTAATCGGCTACGGGTAAGCCGCCAAAGTTGTCGGTCGTTCGGATTCGGATTGTGCACGCCTTGATCGCGAGCGCCAGAATCGCGTTGCTCTCCCTGTGCAGAACGTGGTTCTGGTTTTTCTGGCTTTCTTTAAAGGAAAAGAACTGTTGTGAGTTAGCCGTGAAGTTGTTGCTTGGACACATGCGCCCTTGGAACTTACGCGGGCGAAGACAGAAGGTGAGTTCCATGGAACTGTACCCATGAAGCAGAACAGGCTTTGCAAATCCGAGTATTCGTTCTGGAACGGTGTACCCGTTATAGGCATCCGATAGAGGCCTTGGAGGTTATATGCGGCGTTTGTCGTCTTGGATAATGCGTTTGCGATCCGATGTCCTTCCTCGAGACCAATGACGTGCCAATGGATGACGGCCAGCGTGCTGTTGCATCGGACCGCGTCTTCTACTCGGGCATTGAAGGCTGCCTCCGTCTCTTGAAGGGCCTTTGCGTCCAACAATAGCTTCTCGTACGAGGCGAAGACAACGTCAAACTTGCGGAGCTCGGCCGGGCTATGCTTGTTGGTATGGCCGCGGCTGGGGTCCTCATCTGATGGGTTTGTTAGCCGCTTTACCATGTCAGGAGCTGTTGATACACGTCACACACGCTCTAAACGCTTTATCTACAATACAAATATTTATACGTTCTATTATCTATTATCTATCTAATGTTGCATTCTTAGTGCTGTTCTTTAAGCCTTATACGTTTATCTATATTAGTACCTGTACATTATATAAAGTAAGCATATAGTTTATTCTTTTTTAGTATTTAACGTTACTAGAGAAAGATACCTAATATATAAATAGCTACTCCTCTAGAGTAGGCTAGTATATAGAGAGTATTATTCTTATTAGTAGCCTATATACTATTACCTACTTATTTTAGATAAAGGCTTAGGCTGCTAGTGTAAGTTCTAAGTAGACGTTAGTAGAACTTGCATAAGATATAGTAAGTACTTACTTTATTAGGTATCTATATAGTAGGTATATATCTTTAAGTTGCGCAAAAGCTTTATATATAGCCTCTTATAGAGAAGATACTAGAGAGCCTATAAGATAGCTAATTGCTTAAGAGTAGTATTTCTAGCTAAAGGAGTAGTAGCGATAATGTTAAAGAGGATAGCAAAAGTAATTATAGCTACAATTAGGTTATTTAGGTTCTAAATAAGAAGAGTAATAAACTAGGTAGTAAGGCGCACTATTATATTGTATATAAGAGAGAGAGAAGAGTTATAAAGATAAAGCGTCTATACTCTTCTTTAACTTACACAGTATATACAAAAATTTTAAAATCTAGTTCTATTCTATCCTATAGTACTGTAATAACTTATTAACAATAAGCTACTTACAACTCTCGCAATACACACGTAATACACAATAACTAAATCTGCCTATTAAATATGGAAGGGATGCGAAAGAGGTCAGGAGCTGTTGTCAATCGCATAGACTTACGGTACATGCAGTACTTGAGAGGTTCGACCATCTTGTCGTTGATCTCGTCTTCCCACGTGGCCATCAGACTGGCTGGAACGATCATGAGGTGCGGGACCCCGTCTATCTTCTTGATATGGTCTAAGATAGCTGTAGCTGTTAGAGGCAAGAACTCAGATCGTCGTCCGACAAGCTGTCACTTACCGAGGGTGACTACGGTCTTGCCGAGGCCCATCTCGAGCCCTAGAATCATCCCACTTCCTTCTCTCTTGTAGTCGTCGACGATGGTCTGGCATGTTTGACGCTGATAGTCCTTCAATATAAGCGCCTGCTTGCCCTCTTGTCCGTCCACCTTGCATTGCATGTTCTTGGGGTCTGCGGGGAAGTCGAGGCCGTTCTGCCTGGCGGTGTCGGGAGCCCTTGCTGCGCCCCTGCCGACAAGCTCAAACGCTTGCCTGAGAGCTTCTTCGTCATCGATCTCGATACTCTCATGCTCTGCAGCTGCTGTTGGGTCCATCCATCCGGTTTCCGTAACAACTCCATTCCACGACAGATCCCTCAAGCTGTTGCTCTTGACCTCCTGCCTTTCAAGGCGTTGCTGTTTTTCTTCTGCTGACTCTTGTGCCATCAGCCTGTTGGCGCTCCAGCAAAGTCTCTTGGGAGGCCATTGGCCGGCGTTTCGGGGGGCTGGGGGGCGTCGACCTGTCATCTTGTACCTAGGTATTGTGTTGCGCGGGTGTGTTGTGTTGCGTAATGGATCGAAAATTTGGTCAGAGATTCGGTAAACAGAATGGAATGTAGGTAACTTGGAAGAATTCACATGCGCAAGGATTGGATATTATGGCAGCGTCCGTGCGTCACGGTGAAAGCAGACGCCCGGGCGCAGCTTTTTGAAGTACGTGACCACCACGTGGGTGGGAGGGTCTGTGCGTCACCGCGGATACATAGACATCGGGACCCTTCTCCCTCCACACACCTTCTTACTGAAACTTACACCGACGTCCAGGATCGATCAGACAAGGTAAGAGACTTATCCGCGCCAAATGCGCCAACAGCAGTACTGACATCTTATAGATGACCTCAGCCAACTCGCACACTCAAGCCCACCTCTCAGCGGTACAAGAGGAGCTCGGACGTGTCAACAAAGAGCTCGAAGAAACCAACGAGGCAATCCAAGCCGAACAGAAGCGCTTTGCCGACGACACCAATGCCTTCCTCGAGTTCAAAAGCGATCTGCAGTTATTCCAGGTGCTACAGGTTAGTCGTGTTTCTGACCTACTCTTGTTGCTCAATGAATTGACACAACCCAGGACAGGTTCCAGGCACTTCTTAACAAGCTGTCCGCAGACTACAAGAAACTGAGCAAAGACTTTGACGGCAATATTGAAGTATTTCTGCAGTTGAAGGGAGAACTGGACGACTATGAGGCGCACTCTACTCTTCCTGAGGACTCTTAGACTCTTGAGCCGGAGCCGATGAACATCCCAACGCTGTGTGCGCGCAGGGTCATGGAGGAATATGTCATGTGCCGTGAAGGTGGACGATAAGTCTGCCATCTCACACATATAAAGATCAAGGTGTTCATGCACATATGTAACGAATCAACACAAAATGCGAAATGTGGCACAGTATTGGTTCACCGGTGATGAAATTCATTTCTAGAGCATCAATGTTTGGTATCTCTTGTCCTCTCCATCCTTGTCCTCTGCATGCTTGTCCTCTCCATCCTTGTCAGTGCCAACCAGGTCACTCCACAAACCAATCACTTAGCCACGGTCTGGTCTCTGTGAAAGTTCAGGTGCTTGGTGAGAACCTTGCTACTCTCCAACAGATCCTCCCGCTCCTTGGGGCCGTAGGTGAAGGCCATGTCGAAGTGTTTAAGAGCCGCTCCCTTCTCTTGCTCTTCTTCCAAAACCTTCTTGCGCATGGCGAGGTCGGACTTTGCTGCCACCAACTGCTGGCTGACCGCGGCAATCTGGTCGGCAAGGCTGGGATCGTTCTTTTCGTCATCAGGAGTGGTCTTTTGCCTCTTGGCTGGTGGATCAGGTTGTGGCTTTTGTTGTTGTTGTCAGTGTCTGCACATGAACAAGTCACCCAAGGTAGCATACAGACGGTGCGTCCAGGATCTTGAGCCGTGCGCGTTGGGCTACCTAGGCTTTGTTAGCACAGGTCCTGTTGGCAGGGAGGACATTCCACGCTCTGGGCTTGGCGTGCACTCACTCGCTCTTCTTTGCTCATCGGTCCTGCCATGCTCTTGTCTTGACGAATATTTCGAATGTGGGTGGTGATGGAAGATGGAAGTAGTGGGTGATGATGGAAGATGGAAGTAGTGGGAGCTGGATACGAATGCGAAGCTCGAAAGACGCAGATATACATGCGCTAGTTGGTTGTCACGTGCACGGAAGCTAGTCCACTTGGGCATACGCCACCCCGGGCCTGCACCTAGGCACCTGCACGTGGGCACACTTGAGAGTCGGCATCTCGCTAGAGCTAGCGCTTCGCCGTTATCTCCAGCTTTCGAGGAAGCAGAAAATCCATAAGTCACCTCCTCTCGTGCGCGCACCGAGCCGCGTCCTTCAGCGATTTGCGCCAACACAAGACATCGAAGACCTGCGCCGTCCAACAACTCTACGACATCCTCACTATGGCGACAGACCAGGAAGTGAAGCCAGAAGAAATCGACTCCGACTTCGATCCCTTAACCCTCATTGTCGCCAGCGAAAGTGACGGGGACGACCAAGAAAAGAGCGAACATATCAAGAGGAGGAGAAACGAAATGCTCAAGCTTATGGCAACAGAAGATTGTGAATATTATAAACAGCACGTCTGGTGCGCCAACAACAACGTTCTGGACTATAGTGCGCTCTGTTCTAACCAAGACAACAGGAGACCCGAAGACCCAGCTTTGGATGTCCTCACGGAGAGACTTCTTCACCGCAACGAAGTGCTGATCGACGGACTCCGGGAGGCTAGGTATACCTTGGAGCCTATCTATAATTTCTTGGAGCGCTTGACCGACGGCGGTGTTGTCACGTTGACGGCCTGCTATGACGTGGTTAGAAAACATCAAGACGGCACCAAAAGAACAGATTGCTAACTCCCCACATAGCCGTGCGAACGCTACGAAGACTTTGTCCCCCCCGAGAGATTCGATGACCTGATCGCCACGCTTCAATGGAAAGAGATATCTGTAGCCTACCGACTTTGCGAGTTCGAAGGAATCTACACGTTTCTGGGACCGGTCTTCACTACAAGGAAGGAGATAGGTAGGGCCATCGTGCTACTAGATCGCAGGGCGAAGAAACCACCAACCGAGCCGAAGCTACCCACGCAGCCGAAAGCTGAGAGAGAGCCAAGCGAGTCCGATGAGAGAGCAAGAACGTCTAAAGAGAGGAGAAGAGAGCTTGCCGCCTGGAAGGATGTTGCCGATATCCAGAGCTTCATCAGGACCTTACTGATTCCGCGTCTGGAGCGGGCCCAGGTACAGATCAACACACACGTTTCGGATCATAGTGAGGAGTATCTGAGTGTTCAAATGGAATCACCGGAAAAGATGGAAAGATACGAAAACGGTGGAACAAGGGAGAAGGACTTGGTGGCGGTGGAGCTTTTCGAGACCGCCATGAAAATGGATAAGGAACATCTCAACAGGCATACCTACACCGCTGATATGCGCAAAACCCGCACCTTGGTAATGCATGGGCTATACAGGGATCTCGGTGAGGGTATGCAAGCGTTGGGCACCACCATCGCGGAATTGAAGAAGCTCGTGTCCGTCACAACCTGCGCTGAAACGAAGGCTGCAAGTGACGGAGAGCACATGTAGTTACCGCGACTCTTACGCCAGACGAAGGACTCTATTACCTACCCACGTGGGAAGCCTGCGCAATTTATCTCATTTCTCTCACCTTGGACCCACCCTTGGATCGTGACAAACCTAAACTCGTCGTCTTTCCACCTCCATTGTTCCTACACCACCGCAATAGGTATTCATTTATTCCATTTATTGAATTACTACTCTTCAAATCCTCCCCAAGACAACAGAAGATGGCATATCCCACGCCAAACATCGACAAGGCGCTGGCTGAGTGCTGGAAGAAACCAGAGGACTACCACGTAAGTCACACTCAACACATTACGCATGGGATCGACACTAAAGGAAACAGGCGGGTGAAGATCCAAGCGGTTACACCTTTTGTGATACGTCCAGGCGAATGCTTGTCGCCAAGAACTCCGTCACAGGCGACGAGGTCTGGATGGGCGTCTTCATCAACAGGCTGCCACACACAAATGACTTCAAGCTCAAGCCGTCCTTGTTCAGCTCCGGGACCCCGGGCCCTGACTCCGCACCGATCGAGATGGTTGAAGTCGACATAAAGGATTTGATCACCGGTATTCCGCGCGCTGAATGGTGGCAAGCGAGTGCCCTGAACTTCTACAAGCGCCATTATCGTGACTGGCTCCGGAAAGAGCTCGTAGAGAAGAAGAAGAAGAGTCTGGACGCAAAGAAGGCCTTGCCAGCCAAAACCACTACTGCGCAGCCCAAGGACCCCAACAGCATCAAGAAATCCAAGGGAGCCGACGGACAGCCTGCCAAGAGACGCAAGACAACGGAGGGACAGCCTTCCAAGAGACAAAATAGTGAAGTCAAGACCATCGACACGCAAAGGATGTTCTTCGACCTCGAAAGGATCTTGTCCGCAAGCGAGTACAAACTCATCGGAGCCCAGATGGCCGAAACACTCAACTTGAAATCGACACCGCCAACACGTGTGCTCTCAGAGATGAGGGACTTTGCGAGGGACACCGGATTCAGTGTCTGCTATGCGCCTTCTTGGGGTCAGTGGCTGGAGGATACGCGACAAGAGCTTCCCGAGCCGGTTGCTGTTGATGCCAATACAGCGAACAAGGAAGAAGACAAGGCAGGTGAGCCCATGGATCCAGTTTCCATTGCCGATTCCATTGCCGATATGCCGAGCAACTTTCGACTAAGGCTCCTGGACCCCATGCCCGATGACATGATCGCTGCCATCGAAAAGGTGACAGCATATTTTGATATGAGAGCGAAACAACTTGCAGCTCGTGCTTGAGGGCAACAGGACAAACGGAACATGGGGCCACGGCGCGCTCTTGGAGACGATGATCTATCTTGCATTTATACCTATTTTGGGTCCAACAGGACGTTGGCCGAACTTGCATATGAGGGGAAGCCAGAAAAGCGTGTCATTTTTCCATTTATCATCACATGAACTTTTCGGAATATATAGTCTTTCCAACCTTAGCTTAGCGTATCAAACTCTTTCCGTTGCGATCTACCATTGCCTCCAAGAGACCTTGCTTGACTTGTTAGACGTAACACATATGCCCAATCATGTTGCTCTGAGGTCTGTGATTGTTGCCTTGTAGGCGCTAATCTGTGTTGTATTGACTTCAAGGACTCCACGAATGCAATGGAATAATGGAAATCGCATGTATTGAGATTTGCAGACACCATAACTATGTCCAAGAGCTGTGCCCTTTGCTTCAAGCAGTCAAGGAGAAGTGTTGGCGTCAAGGAGACGCGTTGGCATCAAGATGCCGTGTTGGCATCAAGAAGACGCGTTGGCGTCAAGATGCTGTGTTGGCGTCAGTGGGTCATGTTGGCGTCAGTGGGTCATGTTGGCGTCAGTGGGTCATGTTGGCGTCATTGGGGCGTGTTGGCGTCAAGAGGAAGTGTTGGCGTCAGTGGGACGTGTTGGTGTCAAGAGGAAGTGTTGGCGTCGAGGGGATGTGTTGGCGTCAAGGGGACGTGTTGGCGTCAAGGGCCCTGTAACGACCATTTATGCATGGGCGTTGCAATCAACAAGGCTTGAAGACATCGGGATTGTACACAACAGCTATCCTCTTGACCTCAGGCAAAGACAAGGCTGTGTTGGCTTCAAGGGCCATGCAACGCACATCGGACATGAACATTGCAATCATTTGGGACTTGAAGACAACCTGGTCGTGCCGAACAACTACCCTCTTGATCTCAAGTAGTCTTGGGGCTCCGTTGGCTTTCAAGAGGTTGTTATGGGTTCAAGAGCCCTACGACTACTGCGGAAGGGGCGAAATAGGATGCGAAATCTCTTTGGTCTTGGAGACAACAGAGCTACATGCAATGAACTTGCGGTAAAGCCCGTGATCTTGCTACCACAAGATATTGATGTTGTCTCGGCTCCAGTAAGACCGAAAGAAGCTTGTCAAGATAAACCCTGCGCCTGTTAGGAAGAAGATGCTTCTCTCTTTGGCGAATAACAAATCACACCTTTGAACGAACGTCACAGCCATGCCTTGATGGAAGAATGTATCATTGACCACCTGTATTTGAACCTATGTACCCAATCACTGCTGTTGCACTAATGCCAATGTCACTAGCTCCCTCAGTTATGAGCTGTACCCTTGGGTCGTCTGTACGTGCCTCTAGCTCTCCAGGGCCTCTTCTCCTCAAGCCGACTCAAAGGTCAGGTGCAGACGATCCCTGGCCCTGACGGCGTCCGGGATGGCTGGGTCGTCAAAGGCAATGCGTACGTGCTGTATTACATCGGTGTCTTGCCACTGAAACTTTCCCGCCCAGAATGCAGGGATCGGGGCGTCATGGCTGTCTAGTAGAGCCTTGGCGCTTGCGTGTTGGGCGAGGGATCCACGGAGGACGACCAATGTGTGCATTGCTGAGGGGATGGATCGCTCTGCATGCAAGCCGATGCGTCCCAGAAACTCTTGCAGTAACTGTTTCACGCGGCTGTTGGTCAGCACCAAGGGGCGAACGTCGAGCACAATCTTCAGCACCTCCACCTCGTGAACCTGCGCAATGGCCCTACGGTACAAGGACACAAGCATTGCACGTTGAGCTGCAGTAGCTTTCCCAACAATGTCATCTGTTTGGCCAACTTCGTAGATATAGTCGAAGAACTTTGTCGCGATAGATTGAAGGTCTAGTGCAGTTGGGATAACGAAATGTCTCTTGTCCAGGTATGGGGGGAGGAAGGTCCAGGTCACCCCGTTGGAGACGTATGCAAACTTGACGCGTTGAGGGATGGTGGCGACGTTCGGTGCGAACAATGCCAAATGACCGTGGTAACCCATGGCGATAGCCATGACGAGGGTGATGATGGCGGACAGCGAGGGCGCCATGTTGTCCATGACGAGGCTTCCGATAATGGTGGGTATGGCCTGTAGATATGTTAGAAAAAGCTTCTGTTGCCCCAAAGCAATGAACGTACTGCTTCGGCTCTCACGTATCGAAATTTGATGTTGGTCAATGTTCCGATGGGTACATTGAATTCGCGGGGTGCAGACATCTTGTAGTAGAATGTGTTGGATGTAAGTTCGTTTGGCTTGAGGTTTTGTTGCGTTGTGATGAGATGTGGAGTTGCAATTATGTCCAGGTAGTAGTCGGAGTGAGAAGGACGGAGGATGCTACATGAATGGAGGTCGGAGGAGAGATTAAATAGTCTTCCAGGTGAGCTGCGCGCCCCGTGACCGTCACCACGTGTAAACATGAGGCGGAGTCTTGGAGGCGGAGTATCTCACATCGATTGATGATGAATGAAAGTATCTCGCGCGCACTCACCGTCACGGAGACGAACGCTGCTTTAGCGAAAGACGAGAAGCGAATCTGGTCATACGAAAAAGAATGATACCACCGGTTGCGAGAGTGAAGAGTGACAAGATTTTTGCATCTTGCCGTGCTTTAATGAGACTTGCATCTTGCGACATGAATACGGGATACGGAATTCACAGAGTTTACCACACTTTGCAAATGCCCAGTAACCGAAGTGGACCTTGGGACGGATCGCAGCTGCCTGCACGAGCCTGCGCGGGCCTAGTGCGATAAGTGACAAACATTGCCATTTATCTGATGTTCGGCTGGCGTTTCGAGACGAGGTCGCGTCGTGAGCGCCTCGATCTAGCAGCTACCATACGGCGAGTACTTGAGATATATCCATCGCTGGTCAGCTTCTGGAGGCGCAAGAGGATTCCAGATAGGGCCCACTCTGATATCGATGCATACAAGCGCTGTTACTGGAGATGCACTCCCTGGTTCACGCACTGCAGCAGTCACGTGAACACGCGCTGCGCTAGTGTGCCCCACCTTATGACGCGATCGTCATCACCCAACAAACTTCCAGCACCGGCACACTCACCATCTCGAACTGCGGTACCGATCTCGCGGAGCTCACCGCAACAGTAGGTCATACAAGCCATGGCCCACCCAAGCCAACAGTCCAACGTCAAGGCGGGACTTGGTCAAACAGCCCACCAAGACAAAGAAAATGTCAACCCTCCAGACCTGAAGGCTCGTCTTGAAGGTGACAGAGTACACATCGCGACAGAAAAGCATGTCTGACGCATACAAGCCACTCCGCTTCTCAACGCAGTCCGCTCCGACGCCAAGAAGCTCAGCGGTGCCGAGGATCACATACGTGAGTCAAGTCGCTGACCTTGCATCCGCAACTGGCCCTGCCGACGCTAACTTCATAGACGAACCCAATGTGGCAAAAGCCCCAGCGGTTCCAGGTATGCTCTTGCAGCCAACCCGAGACGGCTACAACTTGCACAAGGGCATGTTCCAGTCGACCTTCAACGGCTCTCCGAAGCCCACACAGCGCCCATGGCTCCAGAATTTGAGCCTCGCCTACGGTGCGACCGACGACGAAAAAGAGCCTGGGACGTGTTCATCCGGCCAATACGACCATGCCATGGACTGGTTCAACGCCCCACTGGAGGCTATGCAGTGGCCCGAGCATCCCGAGACCGCGACAACAGTACAACGAAACTCTTCTGAAATGGAGGCGCCTCCGGGAAACCAAGCTCAGCCTTGGAAACCGGCTTTTGTGTTGGCGAATCAACAGCCAAACCCCTTCCAACTACCCCAGAAGCGAAAGGGCAGCAACATCAAGGAAGAGAAACAGAGTTCCCCGACTTCATGGCAGTTGCGGCGGCCCCGTGAGATGATGGCAAGGCATGAAGACCCGCTCAGCCCATCGACGGGTCGGAAGAGGGTCAAGCGCGAGCAAGGTAAGCAAACCCTTGACGAATCTCTTCAACACCGTCGCTGACCAACACAAGATGACCAGGTCGTTCCCAAGCCCAACAGCCGTGCACCTTACCTTGCCCTGCTCGTCGCTGCCATACCTCTCGCGGACCAAGCCGACCCCTTGCAGGTAAGGATATCTCACAGCCTCCGACAAGCCCTTGAAGACCAAGAAGAGGGAGAGACACAAGACGGAGATATCCTCTCGGAGTAGAGCAAGGAATCGCATATCTATTTGTGTGGACGGCAGCGCGACAGACGCAGACATGACCGGCACTGGGTGCCACTGTGTCTTATGGCTTTCAGCGCAGCACCTACCCCTCATGGCTCTCATGTATATCTAGTTATGACATCTCGGTAGACCTTCTACTCTTACATCACAATGAGATCGGTTTTCTATACACTTTTTGTTTATGTTGTTCACAGTGTTGCATTGCCGAGAAGGACCTCCACGCCGGGATCTGACAGGACGGATAGTAGCACGGCCATGATTTGCGACAAACGCTGGCCCAGGATGCCACCCGAGAACCAGCACTCTTCGTTGCCTTTATGTCATCCTATATATCGCTCTTCCCCGTCTTCCATTACGTACAAACTGTTGTGTCCAAGGCGCTGAAGCAAATCCCTCGGTATGCACAAGCATGCAAGACGCGTCTAAGGGGTCTTGCATCGTTGATCAAACCGGCCATGTAGGCGCCCAGCCAAAAATGACACGAAACACAGGGAATCTCAGATGAATCCAAGCTGACGAAAGAAATACTGCACTGACTTCCGTCCTATCCATTGCCATTCACGCCACGAATCTCAAAACTCTCCATCGACCATTTCCAGTTGCGGCCAAATCTTCTTCCGATTCGTCTGGCCTGCTTAGGCGTTAGCCTACTATCTGGATGGGGCTCATGGACTTGAGCCTTTTGGTTCCGTTCGTTCCTGAACATCCACGCTGAGCCCAGGAGCTTCTGGGAAGCAAAGCCGATGTCGGTCATGGTATGTAGGAAATCGGACCATGGCACTTCTTGCGACACGCGGAACATGGCATCGAGTGTCTTCCAGCTGCGCCTGTTGACCGCGATCTTGGGTAAGATTGGCTCTTCTATCGGGACTGGCACGATAGCGAGTGGCTCGGGTTCGACGTTGCCGCTTCTCTTGGCCTTCTTACGCTGCTTCTTCGAGGTCGTTTGCATGATCTTGGAGCTGGGAAATGTTCCCGTTATTTCGGTCTTCGGGTCATGAGACGTATGGTTAAGCGGAAGGTACAGATGACTCATGTGCTGTTGAGAGTCGTTACCGGATTTGCTTTCCGATGGCAGGTCACCGGTTTTGTAGATGGGTGCCTTGATGATTGGGTGATCAACAAAGGAGTCGATGTCGCGGCCGTTGCACCTCCTTTTCGTTTCGGTCAAGAACATGCTCCAGAACCTCCGAAGCTTGCCTTCAGCTGCCTGCATGGCGGTGACAGTTGCTTGCGAGGTCGGCTCGTCCGATGGGTAATAAAACTTGCCATCTGATGGATTGGCAGCTTTCGTGAGCTTTACGCCCCACTCTACTTTGTTCAACTGCTTCCAGGGATGGGGAATAGAGATCGTTCCCGACTTCAGCCCTGAATTCAGATCACGCAGGATCGCTCTTGACCATGGTGCATACAAATGTAGATGGTGAATACATGCAGACATGAGCGAGACTTCTGATAGTTGGTATGCGATGAAGGGTGTGATAACGTTTCGGACCTCTTGGTGGGTGTTGGCCAGATGATCGAAATACTCCAGTATGTGGGCGTACCCTTCTATTGGGACGTTGACGTGATGCGTTAGACGATACGAGCCCGCTACGAAGCGGTGAACGGGATTTTGAGGCTCTAGATAGACTTCGGTCTTTGGTCTTAGGCGCATGAGAGACTCCCCATTCTCAACCTCGTACTTGGCGTGCTGGTAGGCTCGAAGGGACGGAGCCGCCTGAATACCGGCGTTGAAGAATATCATTCTGTGGTCGAGCATGTCGTGGAGAAACGCCCAAAGATCCTTGATCGCTTCCCTATATGCCAAAGGAATCTCATCACCTGGTTCCGTTGTTGGCAGATTCGCCTTGGCATCCTTGACCTTGTCCGCTAACACCAATGCGCTGGTCCAGCACATGAGTGCTTCGTAGGCGGATACCATTAACTTTTGGACGACCAAAGAGTCGCTATCCGGCAAGTCTAGCTCTGGTGGCGCTGTCCTGCCCATGTCGTCTTTGATCAAAGCAAGGCAGTGCTTTCGTTGACTCTCGAATTGTTCGGCGAAATACGCTGGATCTTCCCTGAGCGAACCCAGATGATCTGCGCACTCGTCGATCTTTGTGGACATCAAGAGCCTCATGCGATCTATGTTAAGATCTTGAGCTCCAAGGAACGGCGCCATAGCAATCATGGCCATGCCACGTGGTGAAGTGTCGAAGGCTTGAAGATTGAAGAATATACGACTGCTTAGACTTCGTGGGGGTGGCTGGAGTCCAAGAGATCTCGCCAAAATGCGCTTGCAAATTCGATGGAGCAAGCGATAGAGATACAGCTGTGTACGTAGGACCGTCACAGCTACTCCCGGGTGGACCGCAAGGCCATCTTCAATCCGAGCTCTAGCTTCGTTCAGATTGATGTACGGAATCATCTTGCCGTAATCATGTTCGTCTTGGCCGGTGAAGCTTGTCGCCCACCCTTGAAGGCAAGCGAAGTGCTCTTCCTCGCTCGTCTGGTAGCAGGCAGCATGTAGGAGCTCGGCATGAGCAAATGCTGCTGGGAGCTGGCAGGTGCGGTAGTGCAAAAGCAGAAGCATCGCTTCTGGTCTACTCGTGAGGTCTTGAAGGTTGATGTACGGCATTCGTACAAGGTCAGACGCAAAGAATCGATGTCGGCTTAGGTCTGACGCGTAAAGTCCTTCCACATGTCTCGCTGCGAACGCCAGATCTGGGCGATGGACGATCGGTATGTCAGGATCAACGTCTCTCAGAACTTGTTGGCGCTCAGACACCCTCAATTTCGACCAGGACTCTCGGATTACGCTTCCATGCTCTTTTGTAAAATCCAACAGCTTTGAGTAATCGGCCATAGTCTTTGAAGTCAACCCATCTGTTGACCTCTCACCTCCTAAGTATCTGCCGTATTCGTCAACGTTGCGTTCCACGAGACCATGTGTCAGCCGTCGTATCTCAATAGCGGTCGGGTAGGCCTCCGTTCCGGGGAACACGTTTATCCATGTGTCCATGCGGCGGCCATCGTCTGTGTCGTCGCTGCAATAGGCAGTGAACGCCTGTTCTCTGTGTGGTAGTGTGTTGGCGTACTGTGCAGCAAATTCCTGGGTGTTTGCTTCCTTTTGGAGTCGCTTGTCTTGCGTTTTCTCGTTCTCGGGCGCATAGTCCAGAAGCACCTCCATCTTGGAGAATCTTGACGAAGGATGCGGAGAGTTCGTTCGTGGGCGAGGAGTTTATACTCATGTCCGCACAGACCATGTCTAGCATTCGCTTATGCCCGCGAGTCGCCTTCACCTAGGTTTGCTAGGAGTAACGACGTAAGGCTAATTCAATGCGCCCGTTTACGTCATTAAATACGGATCTTCGATACGTACGGAGACGAGGGCCACGCCACGGGAGAGAATTCCAGCCACAACCACGACATGGTAGCGATATAGAGTTCTGACCCATCCCAAGGATGACGTGAGGATTGGAGGATGCTCTCATCTGGATTGAGCACTTGGAGCATATCGAAGATTTCCGACCCTAGATACGCTCTTCCTCATAGCGTGAGACATCACGGGAGTCTCCTGTTATTTGTATGCTGTCTGTTTCCACAGGAAGGAGGGTGCTTAGATATTTCCGAGGTTGTGATCACGTTAGTCTGATGTGGAGTTCCAAGGTTGTCTCGAACATCCAGCATACTCGTGCAGTCAGCTTCGATTGTGTATAATTAGTAGTGGTGAACTCTAAGATTTAGCTTACTGGTAAACATCCTCTCTTGAGAACTACACCCTGCTTGTACTGCGTGCAAGTCACCATGTGAGTTCTCCCTTACTCTTGGGGTGATGATGGCATGTTCCATAGCCTCAACAACTCTGAAGATAAACCTCACACGCGGTTGATGGCATGGTGCGTAGAGTTTGCGTGTCGTTGTGGGATTCTTGCTCACGAGACCGTCGAAGAAGTTGTGGCGCGCAACGTAATCTGTTGTACTATTGTACTGCTTCACATAGTCCATAATCTTCGTGCAATTCCTCAGCACCATAGCCTTCGAGTCAAGACTTTTTGCTCGCCCCTACCGTAGCTCTGGCTCGCCAATCTTCTCTTCATGTCCTGCGCTGGTGCTACTGTACATGTGTGTAACTTGCTCGGTCGTTATGTGTTGTTCTACCGCTTTGAGAACTCCCCTTGGCTGTCTGTGACTTTACGCCGCTCGGTGTGGCTGCTACCGTATAATTAACGTCGCCGATCAACTGCCTGGTGCCATTGCGAGTGTGGGAGGAGCAAAGTCGATTTGGCAGGGCCAATGCACCGGACTGGCGGACCCTGTCCCCTAAAAACCCGACGATTGCCTGGCTTGCCGCCATCCCAAGACTGCCATCTTTGTGTGCTCTGCACCTCTTCTGAACCCACCCGCGCTCGCTCCGTGACAGATTGCTTCTCATATCGCTGTTGGCAGATGAAGGAAGCAGCATGTGACTACCGGGGCTCCTCATGAGATCAAGATGTGTCGCTTCGGACAGCTCTTCGTCGGGACGTCAAAGGCTCTTACCACCGGCGGAGTAACAATCCGTTGTCTTTCCAGTATCTTCGCAGCGCAAGGTGGAGAATATCGACGGCAGTCTGTGGATTAAAGTAGCGCACACGTTCATCCAGATACCAGTCCAAGCACTGACTTGTTGCGAACGAGAAGATTGCGATTCAGATAGGAAAGTTACAGAGACGTGTTCTTCGGTTTGCCGGGTGAAGCTCTTAGTAGCGAAGCCTGTCCAATGTCGAAACCTCTGCTGCAGCGTTCGTTTGGATACTGCTTGTTTGTCTTCGTTGCCGTTGCCAGACGCTGTTCGTCGCCGGCGTGGTGTGGTGTTGATGCAACCGGTAAACCGGATGCGGAAACTAGTGCGGCGCGATTCCACGTGCTTGCCCGGGTGGGCTTGGGCTCTTCACGTCCCACGTCATACCCGCCAGTCTACCCACCTCTTGTTGACAACGCAGGACAACCCAAGGAAGCGCCTCGGGACACGACGAGTTTAATATCCAATGGAGTCAACAAGGCAGCATTGTTCGGGGTCTACACGAAAGCCAGCGCAATGAGACTTAGGTGCTGTCTTGGATCCGCAAGGCTCATCATCATTGGCTGCAGCCGCTGCATCAAACTAGAGCATTCTACATGAGTCCCTCTTGCAGAGCTCATCAGGTTCCATAACACGTGTAAGCCTTGCGCATTCATTCAAGCCGAGTAGTACCGCGTATGCACCTCGAACGGAAATCGTCCAACGCGCTGGCAGACTGTGACTTTTCATGAGACAGAAATGTACCAACTGAAGAGGTCAAAGAATAGACTTGGTAGTTCTGGTCAAATTCACTGACTGTTGATCAAACTTGGGCTGATGGGTGAATTCAATATCTACCGTTCGATCTTAATACCATGTGTTTAAGATCCATATCTTCAAGCCTTGTCTGCAACCAAGCCTTCGTGAATCTCATGTGCTGAGCCGTTGCCCAAGCACTACTTTTGAGGATAGCAAAACCAGCCATCACTATCCAGCTGCCGCACCAAAACAAAAGCCAAATTCAATCACACCATCACCATCTGTTGACCATTCACCGTCCCCCAACGCACCATCGTTCTACTCCTCATCCTCTTCATCCCCCTCGTCCTCCTCATCCTCATCCTCTTCACCGTCCTCCTCTTCACCCTCTTCCTCCTCCTCTTCACTCTCATCCTCCTCCATGCCATCCTCGTCATCATCTGATTCTGCCTCCATGTTGTTGTCCCTCTCCCAGGTGATCCTCTCCCAGGAATATTTTCCGGTTTCGAAGTAATAATCGTACTCACTCTCACCGCCAACCGGTACCGAACCATCGGCAGCCTTCAACTCCCAGTTGACACGAGGAATCATTTCCGCTGCATCCAACCAATTTCGATAGGAATAGTAGGAGCTCTTGGGTACGCGAATCGCAACTGTCATATCAAGTGTTGTGTAGTGGTTGATGATCTGGATGTCCTTGGTGAGGTCGGCTAGCACGTTGCAAGGAACGTCATCCATATGTGGTAACTCTAACTGGAGCAGAAGGCCTTGGTTGACCGCGAACCGGGTAGATACCTGGCGAATCATGTCGTCCATCCTCGTGGCGTAGTGTTCATACCAAACAGGCGGGACATGAAGACCTCGAGCATGTACGACCATGACGGCTTGGAGCCATTGAATGAAATCGTTCTTGAGCTTGTTCATACCTGAGTGACGGAAGGGCTGATCGGCGGTTGGGTTGAGAACTTTGTTGATCTCAACAAGGAAACCAACCAAGGTTCCAATCCAGGTTCGGGTGAGCTGGAAAACAGGTTCGATCGGTCGCACAGGCAGGTGGGGCGACAGCTTAGCCAGGTCTTCAAGGTTGGCGTCCACCTGGATGTGGGTGTAGTTGTATCGCGCGATGTTGTAGTCCAGGCTGGTTCTAATCACAAGAGGTCGGTTGCGAAGTCGGTGTCGCAAGCGAGCCGCAAAACGTGCTTGTAAAGTGGTGTCGATGAATTCAAAGGGCAGGTCGACGAACTGGATGACAGCTTGGTTCTTGAAGGCCACAGCATGGTCGCCCAGGAAAGCGATGTCGGTTGATGTTTGAGGGATGAGGGTGTCGATGACTTGGTCAGCAACCTCGCCTGGTATGCCGGTTCCAAATTCCCTGATGAGGGTGTGGATTCGGGATCGTTCTTGGGTATCGGCCATTGTAGTGCGGTGTTCGGTATTGAAGGCGGAATGCTGTGTTGTGTTGTCGGTACTTGAGTGGCTTGGGTCGCGAGGATAACTAGTTGCGCCGCTAGAGTTCGATCTTTCCGGTGTGGAGGGTGGAAGTAAAGAAGTAGATGGACAGGAAGTAGGTCGGCCAGGCTGGTAGATATCCTCAATGAGCGCTAGTAGTAGCGTATCGCTAGCGTACCTAGTTACACGCCAAGCTCGTAAAAAGGCGGTATCAAGTTCGCTGTGAAGTGGCAAATCTTGGAAACCACGTGTCTTGTTCAGGTGATAATTTGCGGCTTTAACATAATGACGACGAAAACCGCGTAGATTTTGCCGCCAATGCCGTGAGGTGGCAAAACCACGTGTCTTATCGAGGTGATGAATTTGCGGCGTTACAACAGTGCTATAGATCGCGCAGGCTGAGCACGTTCGAGACGAGTCGAGCGCCGTCAAATGCATAGATGTGATGGAATTAGGTGGCACAGATAGAGCCTTTATGCATGTATAGTTCTGGTAAAGCTAAGATTTCCATATTGGTATCAATGCTGGCTTGTACTCGTACTAACAAGCCAACAAAAGTGGAGGCCGTCAAGGTTTCTGATTTTATCGAGTGGCTGTTGCAACACAACGTATACTTCACACGTGGACATGCGCGGACGGCGTTGGAAGCAACAGAAGCTACGTGTACAACCCCAAGTTTGATCCTGGAAGCTCATCCTCCATGCATGATGGTGCTGACTACCAATGCGCCAAGATAACACGAAGCAAAAGAACTGTTCAAGGCGGGTAACCTGTTGGGCGGACAGATTGTCCTACACTAGGAGTCTAGAGAAGAACGGGTAGCAGTGGATTGTCGGTCACAAAGCGTTCAGACAGGTTGAGAGTGTTATGCTTATTGGGTTCAAACTACTGAGGCGCATTACACAGGGCAGTTCAGGTGACATTTGCAAGGCTCATCAAGTGGAGATCCATTGAGCTCATGAGAAAGATGTTTGTGAGTACATCCATGGAGAGCAGGCTATACTCGCAAAGAAGACAAGACAATGCCTCTATTCCGGACGGCTTTTACCACGACGCATTCGAGCAAGACACTAGACAGTGTCAAGAGCCTCTGCATCGTCACGCCCCTCGTCCTGCTCCATGCCATCACCTGTCTTGTCGCCAGCGGCCCCTTCGAGAAGTGTGGCGCGAACCTTTTCCAAAGCCTTACCCAAATAGTTCTTGCCTGGGAACTCGCCGTTCTTCTCTGCCTTGGCCTGCGTACACCCGATTCCCCATATCTTGTCCTTAGGCGAGGCTTCACACAACGGGCGACCCTTTGTTGCTACGAGACGCAGGCGGAGAGTACGAGCTTCGTTGGAGCGGGTGAACTTGAGGATGTTGGCTTCGAACACAACCTCGCGCGACACTGCGCGCCATGTTAGTTTGGGTTCAACACAAGACATCGGGAGCACCTACTCTCGTTCCATGTCTCCGCATCGAAGTTTTTCACTTTCCTGCCCAGTCTCTTGGCCGTCTTTGGGTTCTTGGTGTGGAGAATGGCGCGCAGTGACTCCTGAACGCTCGTTAGCAGCTGATATCGATCATAACATGTTGCTGACTATACATCATCACAGAACTTCTTTGCCTTGGCGGCTTGAAAGTAGTGCTCGCATGAAGTGTACACCACCCCGTCTTCCTCGAAGCTGCTCTTGTGCATCTGCGACAGATAACCGTTCTCGTTGTCTGCTCCGTAGAAGTATAGAGGAACTGCGTCGGGGTCAGATGATTTTGATGCATCTGTTGAGTTGGCCATGGTCGATGTTGCGTTTGAGCTTGGAGAATTGGGGTAGAAGAAGTGGAGAGTAGAGAAGTTGGAGAGGAGGGAAGATGGAGAAGGGTATATGTATGGTTAGCGTACAACCTTAGTCTTGGCGACGCCTGCGCACGTAGGCACGTGATAACGTGACGCGCTAGGCCATATCCATAGCCTGGCTCCCTCGAGTAGGCCAGTACTTCCATGTATCTTACCGTGATTTGTAAACGATTCTGAGAAAATGCAAATAATGCTGATTTCATTTGCAGAGCACATCTCGTTTTGCGCAACAGAAGAGGTGCGGGCTCACCCATGGACATCCAGTCTGACTGGGATGACGTGGCGACGTTGCTTCCTGTGGTGAGTGGCCAGGTCTGCTCCTGCCGCGCCTGGGAAAAAAAGAATGCATCCCACGTAAACCTCGCCCATCCTGTCCAGAGGCTGAGTTCCACAGCCTCGCGCCCCACCGAAACATGGCTTCACACCACGAGCTCAACGTCCTAGTCCTCTCGCTTCTCACACAAACCAACACCGTTGCCCTACCGAACCCGTACGCGAAGAATCTACACGATCTCGACGAGAACGAATCCGCACAGGCTCAGTCGACACCAGAACATGATACAAATGAGCAGATTGCGACGGATATCGCGGAGTACAAGACACAGAATGAGGAGATGCGGAAGCTCAACAACCGCAGGACTGAATTCCGTGATTTGACGGTCAGACAGTTAGAATGGACCAAGAGCCTCAACCACGAGCTCGGTCAGAAGAGCCGCCGTCTAGAAGAGCTCGGTCAGAAGAACCTCCGTCTAAAAGAGCTTGAAGCCGAGACTTTAGCTCTTCGGATGCGCCCTACAGAGGAGGATCTCGACGCTGCCATCCAGGCAAAAGCTTTCATGCAAGAAGATCTGGACTTCCACCGGAGAATCACAGCAGGATACCAATTGAGGCCCTCAAGAAAGCAGTATGACGATGCCATTGGAGCCAACAACGTACTGGAGACTCGTATCTCTGAACTGGAAAAGAGACCAACACAACAGCGACTAGAGGAAGCCGTCAAGAGTGCTACCAGGTTGCTGCTTAACGAACTTGAACAGCGTCCGACACAGCAGCACTTGGACGATGCTATCACGAACGCTGTTCGCCCGCTGAAGGAGCAGATCTTTGAGCTAGAGAAGAGGCCAACACAACAGATGCTGGAGGATGCGGTCGAGAAAAAGACCAGTCCCCTTGCAATCAATATCGCTACCCTCAAGCAGCGGCCCACTCAACAGGCCCTACAAGACGCCGTCACAATCGCGATTAACCCGTTGAACACCAAGATCGCCACCCTCGAGCAGCGTCCCACTCAGAAGGCCCTACAAGACGCCGTCACAGACGCGACTGACCCGTTGAACACCAAGATCGCCACCCTCGAGCAGCGCCCTACTCAAACGATGCTTGCCGCAGCTGTTGCAACGGCCACTGACCCGTTGAACACCAAGATCGCCACCCTCGAGCAGCGCCCTACTCAAACGATGCTTGACGCGGCTGTTGCAACAGCCACTGGTCCGCTGAACACGCAGCTGACGCACCTCCGACAACGTCCCACCCAAGCGATGCTTAACGCGGCTGTTGCAACAGCCACTGGTCCGCTGAACACGCAGCTGACGCACCTCCGACAACGTCCTACCCAAGCGATGCTTGCCGCAGCTGTTGCAACAGCCACTGGTCCTATAAACACGGAGCTGACGCACCTCCGACAACGTCCCACCCAAGCGATGCTTAACGCGGCTGTTGCAACAGCCACTGGTCCGCTGAACACGCAGCTGACGAACCTCCGACAACGTCCTACAGAGCAGAACCTACAAGACGCTGTAGCACAAGCATCCGAACATCTCAATAACCAGATTACTGAGCTCAAGAAGCGTCCCACTCAAGAAGACGTGGATAATGCCATGGCCAACGCGACTAGGCCGCTGGAAGAGGAAGTTGTCTCGCTGAGACAACGCCCAAGCGCTACGGATTTGGAGAATGCTGTCGCAAACTCCAAGGCAGGACTCCAAGAAGAGTTACAGAAAAAGGTCGATGAGATCTCAGGTCTAGAGAAGCGGCCAACTCAAGAGAAGCTGGAGAGCGAGATTGCTTCCGTCCGACAAGCTATGGGACATCAGCTTACTGAAGCGCAACTATCCATATCTCGTCTTGAAGAGCGTCCAACACAACAACACCTCGAATCTTCCGTCAGGGGAGCTAAGCAGCCCTTGGAGAACTCCTTGGCTCTCTGCCGACAGGATAGAGACCATTGGAAGGAACAGTTCGAGGACGCCAAAGAAGCGAACAGAGTTGATACGGACAAGAAGAACGAAAAATTCCAGATAGAGATAAGAGAACTTGAGACCCGCGGAGAAGAGGCTAAGACCGCGTTGCAAGACAAGTTGCGAGATGCGAAAGCATCCAATGATCACACACTTGGAGTTCGAGACGATACCATCAGAAAGCTGACGAACGACGTTCTATATCAGATGAATAAAGAACAGGAACTATCCGGGCTCTTACAATCAAGAGACACTGAACTTGAACAGTTAAGAGTCGATGCGCATGTCGCTTTGATCACCGAGCGCAAGCAGTGGCAAGCCGAAAAGAAAGAGCAACAGGAAACCAAGGAGAAGCAAACTCAATCGAACCTACGCCAGTTGTACCGGCGATATGCCTCAGCGGAAGAAGGCCGCAAACATGCTTTACGATGGATGAAGATCTCATTCGCCGCGTTGTACACGATATGGGGCCAAAAGCAGGCCATAATGGATACAACAGGCGCGCAGCTTCGGCGGCAGCGGGAAGCGATTGAGAAACTTGACTGTGCTGCTAGCGAGTTCCAGAAGACCCAACATAGGCTCGAAATGGATCTTGAGGTCGCTGAGAAGCTTTACGAGGAGATCAAGACTGCCTTGGCCAGCGCTGAAGGTGATACTGCTGAGACCGGTCGAGCTCGCGACGACGCGCAAGAGGAGGTTCGCAGACTTACAGAGACTCTTCGCCTATCACGAGAGATGGTCGCAACCGGCGAAGCCAAGCTTGCAAAAACTCGTCAGTCTATCACAGAAATGGAGGCCAGAGTCAAAACAACTGAAGATGCGACCTTGGCCGCTAACAGCAAGACCTCGTCGGAACTTACCCAGGTGACAGAACAACTTGCCAAGGTCAAGGAGGCATCCAAAGCGGATACCACAGGATTCAACGCTTCCCTTGAGACATCAAAAAGGGAGGCTAGCAAGCAGCAGCAGGCCCTTGAGCAGTTCAAGGCTGGAGTTGAGAAGAAGCGGGCAGCGCTGGGTAAAAGGCTCCAGGATGTTGCACATGAGAAGAAGCTGCAAGAGCCTGATGAGCTTCTCACTGTTGACGAACATCAGCTGTTGGTCGAGGTTCAACAAAAGATATCGGAGATTCGGACACGTCACACGGAAGTTCTCGCCTACAACTTCAGACTGAAACATCAGCGCTGCAGGTTGCTAGGCCTGATATACAATCATATCGGTATCGCTGCACCTTACAACAGCAAAGCTGAGTTTCAGAAGGATTACGACGACTTGGAAGTAGCCATGGATTTACGGGTCAAACTATGTCTTCAGTTCATGGAATTGGAAGAGAAGCTGCAGGATGCGTGCCACGAAAAGGTAGCGTCTCTCGGTCGTGTCGTGGCGCGACTGTTAGCTCGGAACAAGACACTCTCCGACCTAATGGAAGCGCCTGTTCAATGTGGATGTGCGAGCACCATCTCGGATTTGGGCAACCGCGTCAGGGATTTAGAGAAGAAACTTGGCGACTCCATTGAGCAAACTAGACGGGCGGTTGGAAGGTATCAAGCCACCACTAAATCGATGCTCAGAGACATCGAGCTGCTACACAACGAGCTCACGACTGTCAGCGGCGCCTACAACATGATCAAACAGTTTGTGGACGACAAGGTCAAGACAGGAGCTCTGAGATAGTGTACCAACAGTTTGCATGATGTTTCATCAGCTTCTTACGGGTCGCAGTCTAGGACGCGCGTGAGAAAGACCTGAGATCAAGAGAATGCAGTTATAGCTACAACATTAGATCAATACTAGCATGACTTATCAAGAGAGTTCAACGTGAGACGTTCGATAAGTTTGTGCTTTCCATACAGTCAAAGCGCTGGACACCTTGCTGTGCTACGTATGTACTATGTAGTGAACGACCGAAGAGAACCAAGCACGGAGTGATGAAAGTTCTTCTGCGCTCAGTGAGACATATTACATGCAGCCGACCCATGACACCCCTTCCATTCCGCAACCTCCCGGCGAAGACCTGCATGATGATGATCTCTCTCGACCATCGTAAACGCCAACCCAATCCTCTTAGAGCGAGCCCTCGATTGAACATCGCAGCCGCGAAGAAGAGACCGATCTTAACAGCGCTTGTTTCATCCAGACTCGGATGATCCACTCAATGGGGACAGTTGGGTCTCGCGTACAGTGTCAGTGTAGAGACCCGCCGCGTATTCCCTGATAAACCCTTTTATCTCGTTGTGGGTCCGAACCAGTAGCTTCTTCAACTCTGGCATGTCCTCGGGGCAGGCTTCTTCCAGCTTCTTCTGCTCCTCGCGTAAAGAATGCATTGAGGCATCCATCTCCCTTATCGGTATTGCTTCGGCTTCTAGAGCGATATTCTCCTCATGGAGCTGTCCGCGTTGATGGATAAGGGTCGTTCGTTGCTGCTCGGCGTGATCCACCTTGCTCTTGGACTTGTTATTCGTGTTATCCATGTAGCGTTTCAAGTTGACGTCGACTTCCTCCTTGAGCTGCTTTTGATACCGGAAGTGGCTGTTGCGAACCTTGCTCTTCTGTTGCCATTCGGCTTGCGGCATCTGCACGGCCGATTCGACGCTGATACCTGCTGGAGCTATGTTGAATCCTATACCCGTGTGGTAATAGCTCTGTGTCATCTGGCAGAAGAGCTCTTCCCCAAGTTTGCTTTCCTCGACACTGATAGGAAAGGCGACAATGTACGTGCGCCAATTATACAACGGTACACCGTCCTCGCCCTTGAACTGTATGCGACAAATGTTCGTGAAGAAAGCCTGAAGGAAGTTCGTATCGCCTGTGTTGTGTCTCTTGGTCCGATCCGCTTCGTTCTCGGTGTAGCCAACGTACTTGAACAAGTGCTTGAACGGCAAGTCTTGCGCTTGCGGGTGGTCGGACTTGTTTTGATCGAGCAGATTGTCGAGGGCGTTGCAAAATGCTATGACTCTGCCAATGCGAACAGCACTGCCTTGTAGAAAGTGGTGAGCGCCTACGGCTATGTCGTTCCTACTGGAGCGAGTACCCCTAGATACATTGTCTACCAACACGCAGAGGTCAATGTGTTTTGGGTCGCCTGACACATAGTCTCTCATGCAGCGTATCACCTGCTTCAGTTGTCTAGGCGTGAGAGACTCGCCCGACGCATTGGTGATGTACCGAACGTAAAAACATGGACAAGGCGTGCTCTTGGAGCGTAAGACCCAGGATGACACATCAGGCAGTTCAGCCTTCGTGGCCATGGCTACGTAGTAGGCCTCGAGGCTACTGTCGTCATAGTGGTATCGCAACCCGGCGTCAGCGTCGTCATTCCCTAGCAATCTTCGGGGCAGGCTGCCGTCAAGGATGGACTGCAACATCTCGAATGGCATATCTGCCAGGATCAATGCCCCGATGGATCTCCATGTAGCCAATGACTCCAAGGATCTGTTGGGGGCGTTGAAGAAGGGGTGATTGGATCTGTTGGAATCGTCATACGCCGCATCGATGACTGCCGTATATCCATAGCTGAGAAGCTCAGAGTAGTCATGTGGGGTGGCTGTTATGGCGACTTCGAGAATGAGCTGGGCCGCAACAGGAAGCCGGATCGTCTTGCGCTGGATCATTTGGGCGTTGTCGTCATCGATGAGGCCACGGACTTCTGAACTCGTCACCCTCCCAAGGTGCTCCTCATCGTCTCGTGATTGAGACGAAGCCCTAGAACCCCACATACTGCTTGGCGATAGGCCTTGTCTTGCTTGCATGCCTTGGCTGCGGGTGCTTATGTGACGTATCGCTGGGTTGCGCATTGTGTTGAGTTGCACATTGTCGGATAGAGGAAGTCTTTGCTACGTGTCGGTAAGGTCGATTGATCTGGCCGGCGCGGATCTGAGCGGGAAGGAAGGAGGAAGGAGGAAGGAGGAAAGAGGAAGGAGGAAAGAGCGGCTACGGCAATACCGCCAAGTCATCCCTCATGGTTGTACACCAGTGGCACGCCTCGTATTTTTGCGGCATGTGTCAAATCTGCGCGCGTTCAATGGCGAAAGCCACGTAGGGTCATATAGCTACCTAGTTGGAGGGCTCGTTTGTTCCGGTGCCGCCCGCACTTCATATAACACGCGACAGGGTGTTCGAGACCACCTGGGAAACCATGCGACTGCTTACGCCCGCATACTGTAAGACATCATAAAAGATGTCGCGCATCCTTTCTATCACATGATCCACGGCCAATCGATGACGAACAATATATACTTGGATCAACTTTCCATTCTAGCCGCACATGCCCCGCATGTTGGCCTACAGTTCCACAAGTATCGTCAATCTAAGCCTTATGAGCCACCCGATCAATGAGAAGCTGAAGACGCTGGGACCTTGGTACGGGAGCTGACTCATCATGCATGTCGTGAGCCAGAACAGTCCTTTAACTAATGCCGGTACGCTGTGTTATTTCGTGCCCGCGGATAGGCGTGCTATTGTCAGCAAGGTCTCGCAAGGACGTGACATTGTCCACGGTCCAGCATGAATGGGTAGTCTTCTCATTGGGTACGAATCCTTGAAGACTTGCAGTCACCCGAATGGTGTTCGACCTTGTCTGGGAAGTCTGGAGTTGCCTGTGAGGATGTTCTTTTCAAATTGCCAGTTCTGGGTATATGTGAAGTTTTCGGCTCGTCTCTGGAACCAGTGGGGGCATGCCTTGGGTGGTGGTGTTCTGCCAGCTGCGTTAATTCTGTGTTTATCACGCTGGCGACAATACTGGCCTCTCAACCAGACGTCTCGTCTTCGGCATCATCATCGGAGGTAACGCCTGCGACGCTAATCATGTGCCCTTCTCGAATGCATATTCTGTCTTGCTCGAATCGAAAGGTAGCCGTTGACGCTTCTGCAATTCGGACGGGTTGAGAGCCACTTGGACGGCGCTCTCTTCCCTGATGCCCAATTGCGCTTGTCCCTTTCAAACAGTATCTGGTATAGTTGTTTACGACATTCGGTTCGCTTTGCCGTTCCAAGATGTGTCTTCGGGATTCTGGGCTTGTCTTGTTGCTCACAGCTAGGGGCGTTCGTCGGGTTCTTGGAGTTCCGGTGAGTACTGGGGGTCAGCGTGTGGCGTCGAGAAATTGGAGCGTTTCGCAAATACGTGCTGCTGTCGTCTTGTGTGATAGCCGTGTATGAGGTCGTGCCGCGGCAAACTGTGGCGCTTTGTTGCATTACGCCAAAGCAGCGCCAATGGCCAAGCGCGCTAGTCACAAACGTCGCACTACCTCGGCTGGCACGTGGCATCGCTGGCGACTTCCATCCTCGGACCCACCCACTCAATCATCTTATTTATCGACAGGCCGTGACTGTCACAGCAATCGTCATCGCTATCAGCTACACTGTGCAAATTCTCGCCGTTCCCAGTACTGCAATGTAATCGCCTCTTCGCTAGTGCACGTGCTCAATCATTACGCGACATGCGAAGCTGCGCGTTTGCGTGACTGCCTTATGCGGAGGGCGCGCGTCTCGCCTTTCGTCTCCACAGGAGCATCATACTTTGTCACTCATTCTACAGGCCATGTCTCCCGCCTGTCACTATACTCATGATGCCGTTCATCACTAGCGGCTAGCCTCGTCCGCCCAGGTCGGGGCCCATCATCGCCGTATTTATCTCCTGACAGCTTGCTGTTGCACGAAGCGCCGAGGGAATTCAACGTGAGTCTCAAAACGGTGTTGGCTCGTCAAATCTGACATCATACACAGGGAACATTCGCACGACTCGAGACGAAGACGCCTTCCAACGCCCTACGATTCGGTGACCAAGAGAAGGAAGCCCAGCGGTCGGCAGCGAAGCGAAGCGACCCAAGCCGTCTCGCCAGAGCTACACCATTTTACACTTTGGCCACAGCGCATCGAGTCCCACTCGGCTGCTGAAGAAGGGGTACCGACCAATAGTGGATGTCTTGGCCAATGCTACAGGGTTGAGCGCGATGAATGCGAGGGTTCAAGAGAAGGGATCTGCAGCCCAAGACTGGTGGTTGTACAAGAAGACTACGACGGCACAACGATGAGCCTTGTTGACCCAAGCCGACCGACATTCATATCCGTACGAATTGAATTGTATTGACAGCTCAAATGACGGTCGGAACAGGAGATTCATCCGATAGGCATGTTCAGTGATGGGCTCGACAACCAGTGAGCATGTGACGTGGAATACTACTGGTGACCCCAGAGCTGTGAATGCCGGACATCCCCTCATGACGCTCCCCATACGCCACAAGCCATCATATGACGTACAGGATCGGCATTGACATGGCAAGGAGGTAGCATAGTCAGACTGGCGAGGGTGCGATGCGGCGGTAGATGTTGATCGCGTTTGGACCAAAGTGGCTAGCTTTCAGACAACGGTCACTTGATCAAACTGGCGCCGTATACATAATCATTAATTGAGCAGGGGCATTAGACAGCGTACTGTACGGTCATGGCGGCACTGCTCTTTTCTCGTACGTTTTGCTGATTCATTTATAAAGATCATACCGGAAGCGTAACCCACCCCAGGCTGTCGGAAGTCGTTTTCGTCTCAGTCAAGATCATGTGGTATGAAAGGTATCGCGCGATGCATTGCTGAATTATTGCCTAATACTGCTCATTACAGAAGGTACGTCCAGTCGTAATGTAGCGCACTTCACTGATATCGACGAAAAGCGGGGCTACAATTCGCGTCTATGGCCAGCGCATAGTCCGGGGAAGCTGCAATCATTTGAGCTTACTCAATCAGACGATGAGGCTCGTTTCGGTCCTAGGGCCGGATGTTCCCACGATCCGGAGAAGCGCGGGGGTGCTTTCCATCTCACAGACGCTGCTTCCATCTTTCCTAAACGAACATTTCCCCACGATGTCGAAACCTCGACGTACAAAAGACAAGACAACTTCGCGAATAGAAAGTCCAGAAATCGTATCGGCGTACGAGAGCGTCCTAGCAAAATTCGAGAGCATCAACACAGGCGATCGTCAACTCGAAGATGCTGCAAATGCCCTGTTGGTCCCAGCGGCATCCGCAGCGAGGATCATCCAACGACCCGACCTTGCGAGTATACCAAAAGATAGTCAGAGAAGCAGAGAGCTCCTTGGGTTGCAAGAACTGGTGATGGGACTAGTGACACCGGATTACTCGTTCAACATGCAAGAGATGGGTGTCTTCGGGACGAAGCTTACCGGCACCCAGGCCCTGATCAACCAGTGGGAGACAGACCTGACGGCCAGCAAGCTCACCAAAGAGATGCCACGTCTATTAGTCAATGCCAGTACCCAATCTGACAGCAAGCCAACGGGCAGAAATACACACCAGCTTGACACCCAGACGTCGGGTCCGGGCCAAGAGACTATCGTTGTTGGGCACACTGGGGCGAGGAAACGACGCAAGCTTGTTGACCAAGGAGCATCTCAAGGCAGCCTTGGAATGGAGTGTTCACCCAACGACCGGAGCGAGGTCGAGCCAACAGCGACAGCAGACCCTTTCCTGCGCGCTTCCCACATTTTCAGCTTCCAGTCTTTGGACACCGTTGGTGAACTCGTCACTCCTTTCGGCTTTGCCTCTCCGCCCCAACCCGAGTCCACCCCAGGTTTCCGTAGGCCTGCGACCCCGCATCGTCCCAATCCTTGGGCACCCGTCGCTGAGATTTCCTCAACCCTACCATATGAGTGGTCTACCCCTTCAAGAAGACCGATAGTACCACGATTGTTACCGAGATCCGATGCAGGCGCACTGAAGAAGGCTCCGCTTGTATTCCTCAGTACGACCCCCGCACCAGTAGCACCATCAATGGCGCCAATAGGTGCCATCGAAGCCCTGAGAGAGTCTACGGCCGTCCCAGAACGTACTGTCGTTGCGCCAAGGCAGAGTTCTACCGCGCCAGAGGTATCGAGAACACCATCAAGCAAGAAGCCAACACCAAAAGCAATCCCGACCGCGTTTTTGAGGACGCCATCCCCACCAGGCAAGGCTGTAATTCCGTCAGGATCAGCTTTGTTGTCGCCAACAAAGGCTGCAATGCTGACAACAAAACTTCCAAGACTGTCAGCAAACCTCTCGACGCCGCAAGCAGATCCTCCAGCGCCGCAAGGAGATCTTCCAACGCAGCAAGCCAGACCTCCAACGCCGCAAGCAGATCATCCAACACAGCAAGCAGATCCTCCAACACAGCAAGCAGATCTTCCAACGCTCCGAGCAAAGCCTTCAGCGCCGCAAACGGGTACCCCAACAGAACAAGTGAAACCCCCAACGCTGCAAGTGGAAGGTTGTCGATCATCAGCGCAGTATGGACTTAACGAGTGGTCTGTCCGCGACGGAAGTCCGTTCCCAAAGAATTTCATTGCGTCAGATCCAAGCGACAATGAAGGCGGAGGCTTTGAGCCACACGAGAACCCATTCTCCGATGACGGGATCCTACCAAGGGAAGACACGCCGCCAGTACCCGAGGAGCGTGAGAGTGCCATCCAAGAGTCGCATAGTCAAAGCGAAGCAGCTTCTGTTACACCAGCACCGCCACGGAAACAACCAATAGCTGCAATCAAACGACATGAGCGGCGACCCCAGGCGTCTAGTAACACCAAGAAGACGCGCGACAGAGAAGTTCCTGTCAAGAAGGCGGGAAAGAAGAGGAAGCGAGGTCCAGTTCCGAAAGAGAAGAAGATAACACAACTAGACAAATTTCTATATGTTGCTAAGCACGCGCACGATACCCAAGGAGAGCTGAAACCACTTCGGGATGGACCACGGGAGCTCGTGATG